TCCAATTCCCTCTCAAGGCCACCAACGCCAGTAGCGATTAGCTGAACCGGTCCTGGGCCTCCGCTAGGTCGACTCAGCCTCAATGATCTCGCACCTCCGTACATTCGGGAGTTGCTGCTGATAACCCCTCAACGTTTCAACAACGAGAACTCTGAGGTCGGCAGACTTGGATCTCCTCTGGATCTCCAGTCCTTGGGCAGCAATCTCTGGGCATTTTCTTTCATGGTACCCGGACTGTTGAACTCTCTGCCAGGGAGTCCGGTTCGATTGGGATCTTCAAGTTCCTCCTAAAAATGTATCTTTTGGCACTTACTATTTTAACTCCGCCACTTCCAATCCATTCCCCCCACCATTTTCATTGACGCAAAGCGCCATTTGGATGTTATCTATGTACAGTGAGGGAAACAAGTATTTGATCCCCTGCTGATTTTGTACGTTTGCCCACTGACAAAGAAATGATCAGTCTATAATTTTAATGGTAGGTTTATTGAACAGTGTGAGACAGAATAACAACAACAAAATCCAGGAAAACGCATATCAAAAATATTATAAATTGATTTGCATTTTAATGAGGAGAATAAGTATTTGACCCCCTCTCAATCAGAAAGATTTCTGGCTCCCAGGTGTCTTTTATACAGGTAACGAGCTGAGGTTAGGAGCACACTCTTAAAGGGAGTGCTCCTAATCTCAACTTGTTACCTGTATAAAAGACACCTGTTCACAGAAGCAATCAATCAATCAGATTCCAAACTCTCCACCATGGCCAAGACAAAAGACCTCTCCAAGGATGTCAGGGATAAGATTGTAGACCTTCACAAGGCTGGAATGGGCTACAAGACCATCGCCAAGCAGCTTGGTGAGAAGGTGACAACAGTTGGTGCGATTATTCGCAAATGGAAGAAACACAAAAGAAATGTCAATCTCCCTCGGCCTGGGGCTCCATGCAAGATCTCACCTCGTGGAGTTGCAATGATCATGAGAACGGTGAGGAATCAGCCCAGAACTACACGGGAGGATCTTGTCAATGATCTCAAGGCAGCTGGGACCATAGTCACCAAGAAAACAGTTGGTAACACACTACGCTGTGAAGGACTGAAATCCTGCAGCGCCTGCAAGGTCCCCCTGCTCAAGAAAGCACATATACATGCCCGTCTGAAGTTTGCCAATGAACATCTGAATGATTCAGAGGACAACTGGGTGAAAGTGTTGTGGTCAGATGAGACCAAAATGAAGATCTTTGGCATCAACTCAACTCGCCGTGTTTGGAGGAGGAGGAATGCTGCCTATGACCCGAAGAACACCATCCCCACCGTCAAACATGGAGGTGGAAACATTTTGCTTTGGGGGTGTTTTTCTGCTAAGGGGATAGGACAATTTCACTGCATCAAAGGGACGATGGACGGGGCCATGTACCGTCAAATCTTGGGTGAGAACCTCCTTCCCTCAGCCAGGGCATTGAAAATGGGTCGTGGATGGGTACACCAGCATGACAATGACCCAAAACACACGGCCAAGGCAACAAAGGAGTGGCTCAAGAAGAAGCACATTAAGGTCCTGGAGTGGCCTAGCCAGTCTCCAGACCTTAATCCCATAGAAAATATGTGGAGGGAGCTGAAGGTTCGAGTTGCCAAACGTCAGCCTCGAAACCTTAATGACTTTGAGAAGATCTGCAAAGAGGAGTGGGACAAAATCCCTCCTGAGATGTGTGCAAACCTGGTGGCCAACTACAAGAAATGTCTGACCTCTGTGATTGCCAACAAGGGTTTTGCCACCAAGTACTAAGTCATATTTTGCAGAGGGGTCATTAAAATGCAAATCAATTTATACAATTTTTGACATGCGTTTTTCTGGATTTTGTTGTTGTTATTCTGTCTCTCATTGTTCAAATAAACCTACCATTAAACTTATAGACTGATCATTTCTTTGTCAGTGGGCAAACGTACAAAATCAGCAGGGGATCAAATACTTATTTTTCCCTCACTGTATGTATGTAAAACTTATTTCGCACCGTGCGTAGCCAATCGGAGTTGCAGGGAAAGAACAAACTAAGCACAAATATCAGTTCTAAAGAGATTCGTTTTCAATCGAGGTTTAAAATTGCATAGCTCCAGTGGCTTTCTAACGCCAGAAGGAAGAGCGTTCCAGACGGCCGCATAAGCGCGACTGAAAGTGTGCGATGCGGTAACCCATCTTTGTTCGATGGCCAGCCAAAAGCCGCTGCTGCGAGGATGACAAGATTTCACTCATGATACTCTTTGGTTCTTTCGGTAAAGTCCGAAAAATATAATATTTTTCTACCTACGTGACTTTACCGAACGAACCAAATGTATGGATTCCTGCAGTCACGAAAGATTAAAATAATAATTTCACTCACGATGCTTCATGCTCCTTGGTAAGATCAACATGGTGATGATGAAAAGACGCCGCTATACACAAGCTGTAACCATTGTGATCGTCATACGTATGTGTGGAGGGACTGGCGTGGGAAGGACGCGCGGTGGTCACGCTCGCCTCTCCGTGGGCGCACGCTCGCAGGGCAGGAGCGCTTCGGGAACATGACGCGCGTCTACTACAAGGAGGCGGTGGGCGCCATGGTGGTGTTCGACGTGACCCGGGCAGCCACCTTCGAGGCCGTGTCCAAGTGGAAGCACGACCTCGACTCCAAGGTCCCCGCTCGGCCCCTGCCACCACTCGTCACACGCACGCACACACGCACGCACGCACACACGCACACACACAAAGCGCTTGCCGCCACAAGTAAGCCACACAACACCTCGCTGATCTCATCTAAGAGGAGCGTAAAACATCGTCGCGCGAGACTGGTCATCCTTGCAGCAGCAGCAGCAGCGGCGGCGGCGGCAGCTTTTGGCTGGCCGTCGAACAAAGACGGTCGCCGCATCATCACGCGCTTTCAGATGCGCATCTGCGGCCGTCTGCAATGCTCTTCCTTCCGATATTAGGAAGCCACTGGAGCTATGTACTTTTAAATCATCGAGTTTGAAAACTAATTTCTTTAGAACTGATTTTTGTGTTTAGTTTGTTGTCCTTCTCCTCCGATTAGCATGGTTGGATATGCAGTGACCGTCTTTGTTCAATAGCTAGCCAAAAGCTGTTACGAAGATGACCGGAGTTCGTGTGATGGTTTAAGCTCCTTGACGAGATCAGCAAGGGATTGTGGTTCATTTGTGGCAAACACTTTGTGTGTAATGAGTGCGACCTTAAAATGCAATCGTTTGGCAATCGGAAACCAATGCAGCTCGACGAGCACTGGACGGACACGGTCAGATCTTGCAGTACCCGTCACGACACGTGCCACACTGTTTTGTACATGTTGCAGCTTGGTAATGTTTTTTGTCAGATGTCCCGTAGAGCAGTGAGTTGCAAACATTGATGGCCGCAGAAGCGCATCTGAAAGCGCGCGATGCGGTGACCATCTTTGTCAGATGGTTCAGTCAAAGGCCACGCGCGGTGGTGCCTGAGCGACGTGTCGCATGGCGCGCGTCCTGTCCTGTGCGTGCAGGTGACCCTGCCGAACGGCAAGCCGATCCCCACTGTGCTGCTGGCCAACAAGTGCGACGGAGACGGAGCGGACGCCAGGGGCGAGTGGAGCGACACCGCTCAGCTCGACCGCTACTGCCGCGACGAAGGCTTCGTAGGGTGGTTTGAGACGTCCGCCAAGGTATGTCGCGGGCCGTCTTTCGCGCACGGCATCACCGCCGCCCGCCGCTCTTTCAGCAGAGCGAGCCCAGATGTGGTTCTCGACCAGCGCTCGACCTCTTACCTACGGCGGTGCAACGTGCGGCCGTTTCCGTACAGCTGATGTTGATGATGTAGGGCAACGTTTTTCAAATTTGTTTGGCCCACGGACCGCTTTGCCGATGCGAACATTTCCACGGGCTACCCAGCGCCCCCACTACCCCTCGTGACTAAACGCATTTACTTCTTTCTCTAAATATCAGGTTTTTAAAATATATATATACGGGGGGGGGGGAGGGCATTTAGATCTTAGGGTGTGGGTAGTTGAATCGCGGTAGTTTACCTAACTTCATTGTCTTTATTAAATACAAGTAAAATATGAATTAATGTTAAAAAAAGGTATAATAAACATTGTCGCTATTGTCCGGATCAAGCTGCGTTTGCATCACAGCCCCCGCGGACCAGCTGGAGAAACGTTGCAGACCACTCACTGGTGGTGGTGCAGGGACCGTGCTCTGAGAACCACTGCTCTAGATCAACAGCTTGAGGCGCCGCGGTGGGGAGATGTTAACTACTTTGCCCGGTATACAGGAGGTCGTGGGTTCGATCACATCCCTGACGCCTGCTGTATATTTGGAGTTTGCGGTGTGTCTCTCTCGCCGTGGTCACGGAGATTTTTCTTTGGGTCCTCTGGTTTTTCCCCCGAAATGTAAAATTGTCACATGTTTAGAGTATTTGGCAGCTATGAATTTCCACATTATGATAAGCCACTTCGATGAGCTATCATTTGTGTTAGCTAGGTCACTTCTGAAAAATAAAAATATAGCTCAGTGGGCCTTATCCGGTAAAATAAAATTAGTTTTAACATCATGGGACCTCCTTTGCCAGTACCAAAATATGATCATAGGGTTTTCCCCTTTTTTCTGGCAACAAAACAGGTGTTAAGATGTTAAAACACGAAACTGAAACCTTTTACAAGGAATCATGTCTGCATTAACCACAATACTTGTGGTCAGAATGCAAACAAACAACATACTCTGATAATATATGCATTGTCCTTGAAACTGATTGGTCCACACCAGAGACAGCTTTCTTTTGAGCCTAGTCTCAAACGGTGTGAGACCAGAGGACGGCAAAAAGCGTACAGCACAAATACAACGCACTATCAGAGTAATGAGAGCTCGGGGTGAGCATCTACTTCATGGGACCTCCTTTGCCAGTACCAAAATATGATCATAGGTTTTTCCCCTTTTTTCTGGCAACAAAACAGGTGTTAAGTTGTTAACGGTTTCAGTTTGGTGTTTTTACATCTTAACACCTGTTTTGTTGCCATAAAAAACGGGGAAAACAGTTTAGTTTAATAGCTATCATTTTATGTTGAGGCGGTTGATCCAGATGATTGCATCAGGATTGTTGATATTAATCCTTTCCTATTCCGAGACATATGCAAATTGCAGGGTGGGTGTCACATTTGCCGCTGAATCTGGGGACGCGCGAGCGGCTCAGCATTAATTTTATCCAGAGAGGTGTAGTCGTGCCATTGTCTTTAAAGATGTTGTACTCACCACAGGGAACTGTAGCGACACAACCGCCAAACTGTGCCACATGGCCCTTCCCGCATGGCCACGTACATCATCGAAACGGAAGCGGAGTAAAATCCGATGACGTACACGCATGGGTGCAACTCCCTATTTCAAGAGGGGGTGGGGGGGCTATGCAAGATCCGACTGTGGGCCCCCTCCATTCTCCCGACTCACTTTTACTGAAATAGCTACTACGGATGTTTTTAACCTGTATACAATAATATGCAGGCTATGACTATATATATATCATTATAGTTGCACCGTGTATTGGGTTTAGAGGAAGACAGTCTCTCAGTGAGAGTATTGATACAAATATTTACGGGTACAATACTCACAATTAAGTTATCGTGCGTCTTGTTTTCATGCCCAAGTCAGTGAGCCAACGAGCCTGATGATGCTCAGTAACAAACATCGGCAGTTACGCTACGAGATTTTACGCTTTGTGTATTTTTTGGAAATATTATGTTTTCGTTTGTAACAATGGCTTTTGGCATTTATGGTTAATTGTTGCAACATTACCTGATTATGTCGATTCAGGGCCCCCTTGTGGCTGACTGGGCTCCAATGCGTCACATAACGCTGCCATGCATACCCGCCCATAGTTGCGCCCCTGCAGACACGTACGTCATCGGAATGGCAAAGGGTTAACTTGCCCCGAAAATCCGAGGAAACCGTCCACGGGCGTGCGTGTGCATACGGATGGACGGACGCATGGGAGACCCTGTCCATGCGCGCACGAGCCACACGTGACGGCACGCCACCGTCCCCCCCCCCCCCACCGCAGGAGAACATCAACGTGGAGGCGGCCGCGCAGCTGCTGGTCCAGCACATCCTGGCAAACGACGTGTCCTCGGCGCAGGGCTGCCGGCGCTGCGAGGTCACGGACAGCATTAGGCTGACCACGAGGAACGGGGGCGCCCGCCACAGGAAGTGCTGCCAAAAATGACGCCGCCGCCGGCGTTCTTCCCCTGCCGCGATCACGGTGCCACTGCCGGTGCTCTCTTGCCGGGCCGGCGTCCAGAGACGGATGGATTCCCTGCTGGGAGCTCTCACAGCGGGCGCTGTAACATCACCCACCACCGCCTGTCAGAGCCCCCCCCCCACACCCCCTCCCCCGGAGAAGATGAGATCACAGAACTGTGCTTTTGTTTTTATTGTTGTTTGGCCGTTGTTATCATGCTGCGAGGCATTGAATCCACTTGGGTCTCTGGCAGGGCAGTTGCGACCCTTTTGTATTGGGGAACGGCCCGCAGAAGCGGATATCAAGGAGCTACCTCTGAGACCCCTATTAAAGTGACCTCTGGTCAACGCAGTAGGGGGCAGCATTTTCCTACCGAGGGTAATGTTCGTTGCATGACAGTCAAAATTATATCTTAATTCTCAAGAGCTGCAATTTAGGCAAATCAAGCACAGAACCCAAATCTAACGCGATGGTTCACTCTGCAGTTGTTGATGTATGGACTGAGCCCATCAACCGCAGGACTTAGGAACCCTCATGAAGTCACAGGCAGTTGCTGACAAGGTGGATTCGAACCCAGGATCTTAGTGGTGCCAACTGTGCTCTGACCTGAGCCACCCCAGTCCCCCTCTATAGATGTTTTATGAAATCACTTTCTTTGCCGGTTATCCACGCTAGGTGGCACATACTTTATACTCCCTACAAACAGTGTCCGTCGCGTGACAAAGCAAAATGCTTCGTCCTCACAGCTGGAAGAAGCAAAGCAGCAAAACCAATTTAACGTTACAAAACGCCTCCTTATCTGTCCCTTCACGTACATTTTTTTGTTAAAAGTATTATTTGTACACATTCCATCAGCCTTCCGGGAGTGCATAACTTTGCCAGCATTGCTTCAAGCAACCCTGATTCTGCCAATGAGACACTGAGTGTCAGAACCAGTCCACAGTTTGATTGTGTTTTAACCAGGGGGTGTCAAACCTAATCAGACAGCGGTGCCGGTTTGGATTCAAATGCAACCGCATAATAATATGGTATTCATTTACCGATTCAAAAATCCGAACGCACGGGAAAAGAGAGTTGATTTATTTTTATGCGGCAGGGTGCGCGCCAAATTCCCCGTTTGAATGTCCGGTTTAAATTCAGGTTGGATTTAGGTAGAAGCTTAAAAAATATATGTAGAGAAATAAGTTGTGAAATTTAAACACGTGGCGGGCTGGAGTCAGGGGCATGGGGGGCTTGGGGGGGGCGTGTGTTTGACAGTCCCGTGTTAAACTAATGCTGCCGAAATTCTACCCTCCTAGTGGCCGGTTGGATGTGTACAAAAAAATACACGTTTTGTTTTCTGTGGAGGGACAGGCATGCACAACAGGCGTCTTATCTGCTTATTTAAGTTTCTTCTTATATTCTCAACGGCGCTCATGATTATTTGTGTTAATTTAACGTGTAAATGTACTCTTGTGTACGGTCGTTGCGAGTGGGCTGACACCATGAATTCGTGACGCTCAATAACTTGGCGTCATCACTGCTGGCTGGAGCCTGATCTTCAACCCAGGCTCTCGGTCGGTGGTGCTGGCTCCGTGTTATCAGCCTCCCGCAATGACCAGCCAACAACCCGTTGTCGTGTTTCCTTCCTTGGCTGATAGCACTGCCGCGCAATCCATGTCACGCCTCGTTGGTGGACTGGTAGAAACCACTCCCAACTCACCGTCTATGTTGATGAATCACAGAAATTGGTTAAATGAGAGCAAACTGAGTGTAAGGACTCGCAGTGGGCTAAAGGATGTGATCCAAGCGTGACGGATCTCGCTGGAATGGTATGCGCCTATGTATGTTGAACTTTTTTTCGCACCATACGTAGCTAACCGTGCTAATCGGAGGTGCGGGGAAAGGACAACAAACTAAACACAAAAAGCAGTCCTAAATAAATAAGTTTGCAATGTAGATCATTTAAAAGTGCAAAGTACCAATGGCTTCATAATATCGGAAGGAAGAGCGTTCCAGACGGCCGCAGAAGCGCATCTGAAAGCGCGCGATGCAGTGAGCACCTGTTCGATGGCCAAAAGCCGGTGCTGCGAGGATATTGCCCACACGCCGGTGTCTGTCCCCTTTGCTTAATAAAGGACGTGAACACGCCACTGCACCATCATGCATTGCTGTGCTCACTCTTTCACACAAGTCTGTAAGTGTTATGTTGTGTCTAACCGGGTGAGTAATCAAGAAACCAGGATAGAGTCTCATTTTCAAAGACTAATCAGGATATGGCAGTACAGAAATGTACTACTTGTATTCATGAAAAAAATGGCATGCTTGCTGAGCACGGGCTGCAAAGATCAAATCGCCCAGCGGCCAGCAAAAAACGGCACTCTTAAAGTTACGTAGATAGGTTCAAAGAAAATAACAAAAAACTACGACGTTTCGATCGCAACACAAGCGGTCGTCAGCAGGGATAGGGGGGTAGTTTCTAAAGGCAAACTGTCTATAAAGGTTTAACATGGACGTAGCCCAAATGTCAGCAGCACGGGCGGGGCAGCTAATGTTCATGTAAGTGGTGGACGGCGACCGCGATGGTGGCGCGTTTCCACCAATTGAAGGGCTGCCAGGAAAAAATTAGGATGTCAATGTAAGATTGGTGAGCGGCCTCCACGGCGAGCGCGCCGAGGTGGCGATGTTAACGTGAGAAATTTTAGAACCGGAGAGCCGAAAATAACAACTAACATCGGAAGGTGGCAGGATGGGAACATCACAGTCAGTTATGACTTAAAATGGTTGATAATGTCCTTCCAGTAATTGCTAAGTTTGCACCCATCTTCTCGGTTGAAATTGTGTCGGTGTCTATATATGGATGGCTTCATGAACAATTCTTTGTTGATAGCCAGTGGGTTTTCAAAGTGCCTTCGTCTTAGAGAAATCAATTTCGTGTGAGCCCACCGCATTAAAACAATGATCAGCCACGGCCGAGGTATTGGTCCTACCGTGTTTCAGATCTGCCTTATGTTCACGAACACGGTCCGAGACATGTCGCTTAGTTTCCCCAATGTAACTACTGCCGCAGACACAGCTTAGTTTGTAGACGCCGGGGTATTGCATGTCAGGGATCATATCCTTCACAGATGGGATCAGATCACACATTTTATGTACTGTGTTAAATCGAACCTGGATCTTGTGTTTGCTCATGATTTTGGAAATATTTTTAGTGACCCCTGCTATGTATGGCAAGGTGATGGTTTTGATTGGATCCTCAGATGGTTCTTTCCCAACGGTTGGGGTGATAGCTTTACGGATTGTGTAGTCTGAATATCCATTCATCTTGAGAGCTTGGTGTACGTGTTCCAGTTCACTGGCTAGGTGATGATGGTTGGAAATACATCGAGCTCTATGGTGTAGAGTTTTGATGAGGGAATTCTTCTGGGACGGATGGTGGTGGCCACCCTGGTGATGATGATGAGAGAGACACGCAAACTCCAAATATACAGCAGCAGCAGCAGGCGTCGTCAGGGTCGAGATCGAACCCACGACCTCCTGTAGACCAGGCGAGGTAGTCAACATCTCTTGGCGTCTGCGCTGTATTTTTTTCCGACTCGCTCGCGTCTCTGCCACAGCGAGACAAGGACGAGTATCTTGATCCCCCACTAGGTCGACTCAGCCTCAAATGAGTACCCGGGAGTAAACATCGCCACTAGGAAGACAAAGGCGGCCCGGCGTGTGCCACAGTGCCGGTAGCCTGCATAGGTGCTCGCTAACGGCACTTGCACCAAGTCTGGTTCAGGCTATTCAGGGGATCTTTGTCTTCGTTTGATTAAACTATGGAGCTTACTCCCGCGTGTGCCTACAGCCCTACACCGTAGGACACTTGCCATGTTTATGACTCGAGTGTGGTTTGTTTACCACCGTTAAATGCCTCGTTTGTTCGTTGTTAAAGATTCCTTGGGGACCCTGTAGCCGTTCTCTGCAATATTCGTGTAATAGATCACGATAAAAAGGGCCATTGCCCGAAACGTCGCTATTGTATATCTTCTCCTCAGGCCACACAATTGTGTATTGACACGGAAACGCGTAAATTTATTTTATCTGTGTTTGTAACACCGCCGTTAACGTAGCCGCATCGCGCAACAAGTCATGTATAGTTGGTTTATACGATAATAAATATCTTAATAATTTTTATATTGGCGCAGGCACCGAGCGGCTTTTCGCTCAGGCGCCGCGGTCGCCCCCACGGGTTCCCGGGCCGCCACGCGAGGCCCCTCCCCCCGAGGCCCCTCCCCCCGAGGCCCCTCCTCCCCGAGGCCCCGCCCCCCGAGGCCCCTCCCCCCGAGGCCCCTCCCCCCCAGGCCCCTCCCCTCCTCCCGCCTCAACCACGCCCCCTCGGGCCCAGCAGTCGCGGAGTTGCGACGGCCGCCGCCTAAAGACGCCGCAGCGGGGTCATGCTTCTACCGTCGGACATAGCCAGGCTCGTGCTGGGTGAGCTCGGATCGCGGCCTCCGCACCGCTGTCCGTCGCGACGTTCGCCATCGGCGTGCACCACCGCCAGACCGCCGCCAGCCGCGGCGCCCCAGACCTTCGCGAGACACCGCGGCGCTGTTATTCCCAGGCCTGGCCGTTTGCCTGATTCGCGTGCCGGGCGAGGTGGCCCCATCCCCAGGGGGCCGTTCTGTTTCGCGTGGGTCGCAGTGTTTTGAAGGTTTTTTTTGTTAAAGTTATTTTAATTTGTTACACGGATGATCCCGTTGAGCCAGTTTCAAGGCTCTTTGCAAGGGAGTTCCGTTGTGCGTCGGTACGGCAACAACAAAGTAAAGACGAAAAAACATCCAATCGTGCAGAGAACGAGTAAACACGAGGGGCTATTGAACGGCCGCCAGTGAAACGGGAGAATGCAAAGCTGCAGATGTGAGCGAGGGGCGCGAGAAAAGTTGGGGTCGAGGGTGCCAAGTAAGCGCTGCGTTTTGGTCACGTAGGGAGGAACCAGATGAAGGGGGCGAGTGAAGAGACAGGGGGAACCAAGCTGGGAGATGAAGCAGAAAGGAAGGTTGTTGGTGTTCCAGAAACGTGGAGCAGCAGCAGCAGCAGCGCGGAGAGGCTTTAACCCAGCAGAGTTGAGGAAAGCGGATTTCTCGGAGAAATAGGAGGGTGCTTGTTGAGGCTGCCAGAGGGAGTTAGGTGACCTAAGTGGAACTTTGGGTAACTGGCGGATTTGCTGAGGAGGTGCTTTCGGATGAAGATAGACCACTGCTGGTCTCGCCGGATATCCAGTGGGGACAGATTTGTGTTCATGGCAATGTGGAATCGTTTCACGGGGGTGGAAATCGCTACCGTGTATACGTAGTTGAACTGTGTGGGCAATGTGTTCAGCACTTGGGGCCAATGCGCTGCTGGATGAGGGCCTCCCTGCGCCGTTGTAGTCAGGCATGGATATTTGACCATACTTCACCACGCTGGTCAGTGCGTGTTTAAGTTTGGAGTGAGTATCAAAAAATGTAGGTTGCCTCTGCCCACAACGCCTATACTAAATGTGCATTGCGATCGCCCATCCAAGTACTGTGCAGGCTCAGCACTGCTTAGCTTCCGAGGTGTGACGGGATGAGGCGCAGCTATTGCTTGCCGTTCCCGTCTCACGCTGCCGCTACTCAATATCACGCTGCGCCTTTTATCAAGCTCGTGATGACTGCGCCTTGTTACTTGAGAATGCGGTTTGGGTTGTGTGCTGGAACAATTGCTGCTAATGTCACGTCGCATGAGAGCGCATATCACACACCGCATTCAGTCCATATTTCACATTGATGTATTGGTCTACAGCAGACAGCAAAAACAGCAAAAACAACAACGTGCAGCGCTTTATAAGTTGGTGTAGAATTACAATAATTGGTCAAGAGTATGCGCACATTGTGCTTGGCTGGTATAGGCTCAGAGGGTCCGAGTTGGACAGCAGAGGGCAGTGCAACAATATTAGCAGTACTGTACAGTACTTATATGCTCCCACGTCTGTGTTTTTCCACCTTCGTAAATCTGCACTGCCCAGCGTGGCGAAGTACGGTCCCGTCATCTGCGATCCCTTGTTTCGGGGATGATCACAGATTTACATAAGGACCTGGAAATAACTTTGGAGTCTGATCCTGGACCCCACAATCCCGCCCGCAGAATGTACAGACGTTCTTACCTTCCGTGAGCGACGGAACAGGGCTCGTGCATGAACACTTTAAACCTAAGTTGGAGAATGTTAAAAACCGCTCGTGCCAGCTTGATAGGAGCGTGGCGGCGATGACGGCGAAACGCTTGACCGAGCGAGTGAGCGAGCGGAACCCGGTGTGCCCACAGGTTACCTGCAGCAGGAGCAGCTCGCAGAGTCGTGCCGCGTGTTCGTGCAGGAGAGCCCTCACCTGCGCGAGTATGCGCTCCACTCTGCCGGGGACGTCGTGAGCCCCGTGTGTGTGCTGGTGAGTGCCCTGCTCCCCCCATGTACGCTCACGTTCCCCGTGCACATCTCCCTCCACCCCCCAATCCATGATCCACCCCTCCGACCCCTCATCGTGCTCCCCCACACTTTGTCTGGATAGGTGGCAATGGCTCATTCAGCAAGGGTGCTATGACCTGTGACCTTAAAATGTTAGCCCATATTGGAACAATTTAATATTGTAAATTCTATCACTGTTAAAATTCTTAGACACTTTTAGTACTATTTTATGGTGTCACTGTGGTTATAGAGCTCGACTCAGAATTGTAAGGTTATAATTCCGAATCCCAGTCATTAGTTGACTATGCCCATTATCCATTTGTGGTCAGTAAAATTAGTACCATTTACGTAAGTAAACTAAATCGGCTGGCCTACACTACAGCAGTGTGGAACCGCTGGCTTGGCTGCCAACAGAGAAAGCTCGTGAGTTAAATTTCTGACCAGGGGGTTGGACTTCGTCGATCATTACTCTCGGGCTGATAAAATAGGTACTCCTGTGTGGGAAGTCAACCATGGTTGTCCTATGCCGAGATTGGCCACTCAACAGAAGTGTGGCGTTTCCACCACTATCTTTGTGCAGATAGTGAAAGTGTTCAGGTCACCGCAGTGGTGAGATGTTAACTACCTCACCGAGTGGTATACAGCACGTCGTGGGTTCGATCCTGACCCTGACCCCTATATATTTGAAGTTTGCGTGTTCTCCCTGTGGTCACGTGGATTTTTCTCAAGGTCCTCTGGGTTTTCCCTCCATATTTATAATCAACATGCATACTCTTAAATAAGCGCACAACTTTATCTATCTGTGATGAATGCTGCACTTTCCGTCGTTTTCATGCAGGGGGCGCTGCAAACCTACGCGCCCCCTGCATGAACGACGGAGGCACAGGGACAGACGTTCGATTACGTTGGAATCGATCTGCAGACGGCGGTCTTCTCGCACGGATAGCTTTATGTCGCCTTATCTCGACCCCGCAATCCCAAACAGGTGAAAGTCCGCATCGAACCGAACCCCCAGCAAGGCCATCTACTTAACGACGAGAGAAAATTCACACGAAATGTCCTTTTCAATTAAGTCTTCTAGATGTAAAATGATATAAGTTTTTAATGAAGAAAAAAATTTCTAATTCAAAACATAATACAAAACGGAGCATCAGGTGCTTGCGTGAATGCGTCGTTCGTGTGCAATTTTTTGTGACTTTCCTGGCCGAAGGCCGTAAATGGTTGTGAGGGGCGCCACAGGCGCCTCCGAACAACCCCTAGTTTAGAATATTTGGCTGCTATAAATTTTTATATTCTTTGGGTCTTTCGGGATAAATTTCCAGATCACAAGCCACTTCATGGAGCTATCATTTGTGGCCAGGTCGTTTCTGAAAAAGAGCTATATAGCAGTTCAGTGGGATTTACCTGGTAAAATAAAAATAGTTTAGTTTTGACGTTTGACTAGAGGCATGGCATCAGAGTGTCTGAGTGAATGCTGTTGCGACGTGGCTGTGTGGTTTGTTATGCAGTCGCTGTTTGGACGCAGCCTGACGTCCATTCTTGAGGAGTACATCGCTATCAAAGCTAAAGGTACGTCACCTGTGCCTCTAGAGGCGGCCACACTCAGGAGGAGAAGGGATGTGCTCATGGCCGTGGTACCGCTGATTTGCTGGGGGATGAGTGGAGGATAAGGCACACTTCCATATTTGTTGATTAGTTTCCATACCATGATTATTATTTGTACCATACCTTGCAAGGGAGATGGGGCAATTACGATGAAATGGGAGTGACCTATGTTTTGGCAGTGGCTGATGTCACGGTGGATACCTTAAGCACAAAGTGAGATGAAGTGGAGCACTCGATATCTGAGCTCACGGCCTGATGAAGCTCAAAGCAGCGAAGGATGAATGTTGATGTTGAGTTCAGTCATGAAAAGTCTTAAGCCACCAGCTGAACTTTATTTGTCAAAATCTGATCAATACATTGGCGTGGGCAAATAATATCTTTGTTAACGTGACAATCTTGTCATTTGGAGGAAGGTTAATGACAAGATTTTTGGTGTAAAACTGCCACGTGCCTTAACCCAATAACATTATTGATCGGGAAATGGAGTGATGAAACCATCTCGTGTTGAGTGGCAAGGTGGCGTGAAACATCTCGGCATCGTGAGACATAACAACAGCTTGGGGGAGGCCTTCATCCAGCAATGGATTGATTTTGATGACTTTGCAAGTCCAGTCATGCCAGAAAATAATTTTGTCTCAATGGGTACAACTACATTAATCATAAATCATGTGCTTGTTCATGATGATGAAATTGCTCACTGCCAGAATGTATTGCTTATGCTGATGTCCATCATAAAATGAGTGACTGATTAGACAATACGGGAAACTCTTCATCACTGCAACTTCTGACGTGGCTCACTGCTGCCGTGTATTGCTTTTCAATAGAGCGCTGTATTTTTTGCTTGTCCATCCAGCCATTCGTTTGATTAAAGCGCACAAATACTTTATATGTTGCAATGACTGTCCCATGAATGAGTCATCGCCTCACGATCCAAGGATTCCATTTACGTGGTGGCATCGTGAACATATTTAACAATATTATCCATAACCTCAGCATAATAATATGCAAATTACACCAATGGCTCATGACCATAAATGGAGGTGAGTGCCACCTTGGGCTCATTTTGCAGGAGACATTTTTGTTTATCCAGGACAGCATAATTGACTCTGCAAACTCCTAAACAAGAAGCTCCTGAATTCGGTGGTTTGCCCAGCTTCTTGAATGTGCGTCACGATGATAATGACTTTACTTTTGAAATGGATTGAATCCTTCTCATCGCACTGAATCGGTTTGATTAAAACTAGGCAAGCAACGATTCACCCTCTGTCCTTGAAAGTCGATTCAAATTTATGCATTTAGGATTAAAATTTGATTTAAGAAATTCCTTTCTGTGTATTATTAGACTGTCTAGTGTGGTATTGTCTGCCCCATTCTGTTACATTAGTTTTGTTAGCATAAACGTAACATTTGCAACGCATAGACCTACATTGATTACTCATTACATGCCTAGTTAAAACCCAACGAGGGGCGACCTCATCAAGGCGCCACGATGGCGAGATGTTAACCTCACCCGGTATGCAGGAGGTCGTGGGTTCGATCCTGACTGATGCCTCTATATTTGGAGTTTGCATGTTCCCCACGTGGCCGCGTGGATTTTTTTCCGGGTCCTCTTTTTTTTTCCCTTCATATAAACACGCATTTAGAGTGTTTAGCTCATACATTTCCACATGATGAGCTAATTCGTCGAGCTATCATTTGTGGCCAAGTCGATTCTGAAAAAGCTATATAGCTTGGTGGGCCTTACCTGGTAAAATAAAATTAGTCGAGTCGTGGCCATAGGTCCCTGCCTGAGCCGTGTGGCACGAGCCGAAGTGACCGCCTCTGCTCGTCTGCTCGTGCAGCAGATGTGTCGAGCAATCCGGCGGGGGTCCTGTGTGTGCTATGGAAGAGGCTGGAGCAACTGCTCACACAGATCAGGTGTGTGTGTGCGTCTTTCACTTGATGGAAAGCGACAACCCAACACAACAACAACTGTGTGCAACCATACCATTTTATTCATCAAAACAGTCACAGTCCGTGAAAATATGCGGGCACACCGCCGTTATTACGTCTCCCCCTTTTTCGTGTTTTCGCAAAAACGTCGTCGCTTCATTATCAACACCGCCACCCGATTAACGTCGCCTCAACCCCACACTTATGTCGCTGAGAGCATCGTCCATCTTTTCTCGTTATCCGACGCCTCTCAGCCTTCGCCTTCCCCATCAGCTATGACTACCCTGTGAATCGCTTTGATTTGCCGCGTTTCGATATTCATAATCGTGTATTTCAGGAACGCATCCATGACATAAACTGGGGTGTTATTGTACTGATGTAAAAAATAAGTCTTTGACCAAAGTGCCCAGAATGCATCCAATCCCATCAGACCTCACAAGATAAGCAGATTCGAGACTGGATTTTCTTGGATTTTTTTTACTATTACCATAGTGACACCCGCATTGGTTCACTGTAAGCAAACTGGACCAGTTCCAACATTCAGTGTCTCATCAGCAGTCAGGCTTGCTTAAACCAATGTTGGTGAACTGCTACATTCAAACCAAATCAGCACAATCATCAATAACATTGCCTTAAAGGGAAAAAATATATAGAAGGTGACATTTTATTCAATTAACTTAATCATAGCACATCAAGCGCCATTGTCAGAAACATCGCCTATGACATATTTTTTTTCACTTACGGCCCCATTCTTCACGACGAATGTGTAGTTCTTAATTATTTGTGTTTGTGCACCTGTGCTAACGCAGCATCACCATACACTGTTCCGTACATTCAGATTGCTCTCTAAAGCCACGTTGTTTTGTCGTTCTGCGCGTGGCTGTGAAGTCGACAGCGTCTGCCGTTGCTCACCAGTGCCGTGTTGTCGTCTGCCGCGTAGAGAATACCAGAATGCGTCTGGGACGCAGGCTTCAGCAGACGAGCGTGGCGCCTCCTCCGTGCGTCTCGCCACGCATTCCAGTCGCCTCCCTGAGCCAGGTATCGAACGTTTCTGCATCAAGTGAACTTTGGCAATAAAAGACGGCTATGTTATAAATAATGGCGATTTATTTTTAGTGCTGTTGTTGCGAGAATGGTTTTTACATTTTTATCACCCACATTCTGGCGGAAGTCACTTCCCCGTATCACTCAAAAGAGTTTTGTACAGAATTGGTGCCAGTGAAATGCGGGAATATCAGGCACACTTCATCGTATGTATGTATGTTGAACTTCTTTTGCACTGTGCGTAGCCAACCGTACTAATCGGAGGTAGTACAACAAGTAAGTACAGCAAGTAGTTTCCTGACCTGACTGCACAGACTTATGTGAATATAATTTCCTACCACGTGCAAAAAACTCTAATTCAGAAGGAATTCGCCAATGTAGAAAATTAATCTTGAGGCTTTCCTATTTACACACTAAATGAATATAAATGTTAAATGTAATACCAATTGAATCTGCCTTGCATTTCACGATAAGAGTGTTGCTCCTCATCCTAGGTTGGACCAAGCATTTCTCCCTACACCGGCCATGGAGTTGGGCCCCCTAACCTTTTTATGTTTTTTTAAACCTGTTTAAATTTGTCCAGGTAAGGCCCACTGAACTGTATAGCTCTTTTAAGCAACCTGGTCACAAATGATAGATCAACGAAGTCACTTATCACATGGAAATTTATAGCAGATAAATACTCTACATGCATGTTGATTTGAAATGTGGAGGGAAAAACTGGAGGACCCGGAGAAAAATCCACTCAATCACGGGGAGAGAAACATGCAAACTCCAAATATACAGCAGGCGTCAGGGTCGGGATTGAACCCACGTCCTCCTGCATAACATCTCGCCATCACGGCGCCCCACTTAAATCATCAGTGGCTGAGTAGAAGTTAAGATTTAAATTTGACCACATGTCTTGTTGGCCCAGCGTCAGCACTGGCTCACGGGACTAGTGCCTGGAGGCCCAGGGGGCCCGTGGCCAAGGTCAACCGTGTCCCTCTCCTGTTTGTACGCCCAGCGTCGGTGGCGAAGTCCGTCGCAAAGGGCAGCTCAACGGCGTCCACGCAGAGCCCGGTCACGGCGAGTGCCGTCGACACCCGCACACTGCCTCCCCGGGCTCCGCACACCTCGACCTCCAATCTCACCCCTGCGTCCTCCGCCACCGCGTCGGCCGCGCTCTTGATGCCCTCGTCCTCCTCCTCGCCGCTGCTGCTGATTTCTCCGCCGTCGTCGTCCACGGTTTTATCCGCGCCGTCGTCGTCGTCGCTCCCATCGTTGGAGCCGAATCCCCCCGCGATGGCCGGCGTCCAGCTGCCGCTCGTGCTCGCCACGCCGCCCTCCGACTGCACGGCCGTCACGTACATGCTGGCCCAACCGTCCGCGTGCCCCGTCCAACCGCCGTCGTCGGCGCCGGGGACCTCGATGCCGGGGCAGGCCTTGCTGTCGTCGCTCGGCTCGGTCCTGCGGCCCAGGGCCACCGTGACGCCGACGCCTTCAGCGGACATCTGCTCACTGCTGGGCAGCTCCGCTGACCCGTCCGAGGCTGGGCCCGCCACGAAGATACTGGCCGGTGAGGCGAACTCACCCGATGGATCGGTTGAAGTGGTTTACTTTTTACGATGAACGCATTGAACTATGCACAAAAGATCTGCTTATTTACGATGATCATTTATTAAAGCAATAAACGTTTGTACTTTTTTTTGTGTGGCTTTGACCAAAGCATTCATAAAGTGCCCAATCTGTGCTAAGCTGCTATAGTCTGGACAGTGCTTGCTGTGGAAGGCTGCCGATATGGGGCTGTATTGTAAACCCGCGAATGCGCCGGCAGAAGCGCTCGCACTTGCCAATGGCACGAACTTCGTCGACGACTCGCCATCCAGGCTTTTCCGCCTTCCTAATACGCGTAGAAACACTCGTGCGTGGCGTTGGCCGGACTTCCAAATAGAGAACGACGGAGCTTGGGGAAGGCAACCCGTTCTGGCTGCATTCCCCAAGCGCTTGTCTGTGCTTTGCAATGCCCCCGTGCAAAAGACTGAACACGTTACAAATTCCGCGGTGCTTTGAGATGCAATTTGCATGAATAACGATGCGAAATAAAAAGTCATTATTACTATTCAGTGACCTGCTGTTTTCCAAGCTCTTCCATAGCTTCTCGAGCAGGTTGAGAGGACGAACTCCTGAGCTCCCAAAACCCAGTGCATCTTGGGAGTTGTAATTGGGCATGGAATGCGCCACTTCCCATTAACTTCTGTTTTGGGTCGTCTTATTCATTCAATTAGCCTCCGAGGAACATTTGTTTGTTTTTTGTGCAAGATAAATAAATATTCGGTTCTTTCATAACTCAATTTGATCCTCTTGCGGTCAGCATAATTTATGAATCAATGGAGCTTCACATCCATAATGGATGGCCATTAGGCCACTACAATAATTTACAATGTTTATTACTATTATAATTGTTTGCTCAGCAAAGTATGACCAAATCTCAAAAGTTTTTTTCAGCAGGGTCGTGCTAAGTTTTTGTCTTAGGGGGCGATGTTGCTGCTGTGTAATCCCGTTGGAATTTGTAGGTAATTATTCCGCATTCAGATGTTTGGCCAATAGCAGTTATACATTGTACGTTTTTTTATTTAGCTATGGGAGATGGAAAGTGGATATCTGGAAGGAAATGGATGCAGAACAGCCGTTGAGATCGTGACAGGTTTTTTTTGCATTCTTTTTGCTCTGTGCCCCCTGTATGCCGTAATGTGCACTGATTCCTACTTTAATAAGGGCGATATTAGCGTGTAAAATAAAAACAGATTGACCGATCGAGAGGGGAGAGAGCAGTACAAACGGCGCGGAGAACGGCGCCCGAGTCTCGAATCGAACCCAGCAAATTGTTGCTATGGGGCCACGACCATTAGCTCACATACCGTTGTACTCGTTGCGCTGCCTCCGGGCACTGTTTGCCGACGTGCGCAGGGTTCGGGAGCAGCCTCTCGAGCAGGGAGAGTGGAGGACGCGAGGTGTCCAGCACAGTGCTGCGATCCGGGTAGGTTTTCCGTGGAGTCACGTGGTGCTCGTTGTGTGGAGAGTGTAATGGAACTGGAAGAGAATTCACAGATTAAGAACCTTAACACGCGACTTACTGGCTGTGTCTCCAAGGTTTCCTCTGGAAGGTCTGCCAAGCTAAGGCAACGTAGTACGAGGAGTTTTTAATTTGTTACAATTATCTATAAAATAAGTATTTTTGGGTTGGATCTCGTAAATATAAATGTGTCGTTAACTCGCCACCACCTGACACGGCCAATAAGTAAAGTTTGTGACGTAAATAAAACATGACAATTAGTCTCTACTTCAGCACACCGGTGTGTTAGAGAGTAAACCCACAACATTTACAATTCAAGTACAACGTTTCGCTGGTTATTCCAACCAGTTTCATCAGGCGATAGCCAGAATTGCGGGGGAATTCCTCATGTTTCACTGCTTGTAAGTACCAGTGAAATGCATACTCTAATTGTAAATGTTGTTGGGTTTCTCTCCAACACAACGGTGTGTTGTCATCACTCCGGATGACCGTTGCAAAGTATGATCTGTGTTTTCATTTAGTGGGCTGATCTTAAAGGTGCATTGAAATGTTTTGATACTCCGACTGATGCTCATGCTGTTGTGGAGTGACTCATGCAGCCAGCTATGGCTACAGGGTTTGGTGGTACATGCTGTTTATGTCGTTTATTGTGAAATTTCAGTCACAGTTCCTATGATCACTGTAACATTGCTTTTATAGCTTTATTTTGGTGATTTCGAAAATGTTTTTTTGGTTTGGCCATATTTGTTTGTTGTAGTACGGAGTTCGACTCATGGCCTTAATCTAAGTTGTCTTGTGGTTGTTGTTGTTGTTTGGCTTGCGTCCCACTGGGATTTTTGCACACAGCGTTGGTGTACGGTGCTTTATCTGGAATATTTTGCTGTCTTTTCCTGGATTTTCTGTTTGCACATAGTCACATAGTCACTTTAAGATGTTTTCTTGTTCATGTTTTTGTTTTTTGTTTGTTGCGGTGGCACCCGATTCAAGAGCCAAATGGCTCACAGGCCTATACCAAATAAATGAAATTCCTTGATTGCTGCAACAACTCCCTGCATTCGCCACGCATTGACATGGTTGCCAGTGCCAAGTCCTTGCCTCGTATTAAGATCTGTGGCTGTCACACCCAACCGGAAAGCATGTGACTCGCGTAGAGTGGCCTCACGTGCCCATATCTACAAAATAAGATCCGATAAAAAAATATATAGGCTCTACCCTTTCTGGCAATAAAACAGGAGGTGTTAATATAATATTGGTCGTGAAAGCATTTGTTAAACAGGTGTTAAAATGTTGAAACACCAAATAGGTCCCTATTCTAAGACATCAAGTCTGCATTAACCACATATACTTGTGGCAAAACCTGCAAACAGATATGCTCTGATACTGAGCTATTAATACTTTGATACTTCCATTGCTTTTGTACTGTTTGCCTTTTGGCATTATCTGGTCTGACACTGGTGAGACACAAAGCCATAAATAAGGCGGCCTCTGGTGTAGGCCAATCAGTTTCAACACAATGCGTACATTATCAGAGCACGTTTGTTTGCATGTTTCACCACAAATACGTTTGGTTCATGCAGACTTGATGCCTTGCAATATGTATCTATTTTGTGATAATTGGTTCTTTACCCTTCTATCTGGCAACAAAACTGACACCTTTTTGCAAGGAGTCATGTTTGCATAGACCGCAATACCTGCAGTCATAATACAAACAAAAGAACATAACTCTGATAATGTGCACTGTCCTTGAAGTTGATTGGTCCACACCGAGACAGCTTTCCTTCGAGCCTAGTCTCATATGGGTTGGACCAGATGACGCCAAAAGGCGCACGTCATCTGGTCCAACCCATATGAGACTAGGCTCGAAGGAAAGCTGTCTCGGGTGTGGACCAATCAACTTCAAGGACAGTGCACATTATCAGAGTTATGTTCTTTTGTTTGTATTATGACTGCAGGTATTGCGGTCTATGCAAACATGACTCCTTGCAAAAAGGTGTCAGTTTTGTTGCCAGATAGAAGGGTAAAGAACCAATTATCATATTTTTACTGGCAAATGAGGTCCCCATAGTGTAGATATCTATTTTGTGTTTGCCAGAATGGGATAAAGCCTATTCAAATTTTTTCATCCTTTTGATACTGCCAAAAAGGTCTCATAGATAAGATGGGATGGTTGTTTTTGGTGCCGCATCTTTAAAACTCCGCGCGCTGTTCTGAATAAGTCGTCTATCCTGCCCATGATGTCGCCAAAACCCCAAACAGAGTTCTGGTGAGACAGATTGTTGACCCGGTGAGCCAGGCGCCTGGCATCTTGGCGTCTTCTGCCAGCAGCAGCAGCAGTGGCGGCAGCAGCAGCAGCACCAGCAGCACCACCAGCCCCAGCAGCAGCAGCAGCTCTGCGCATAAACTATCGATTTCACTCTCAGTTCAAGACCAGGGTGGAGACGGAGCCACCCTGGAAATGACCGCAGAGAGTCTGTCGGTGAGGTGCCAAGCTATGATTGCTTAATTTTGGTATACCTCTTGTCATGACTGTGGCTACTAGTCACATACCTACCCCGGATTTCCCGGGACGCGGGAAATATTTGGTGAGAACTTAAGCCATTGTTTGATGTATCCTCAGCCCGTCGCGGTGGGGGTGAGTGCGGGTGGTGGGGACAGGTGGGGGAGGGTCTCTTACAGGGTTCAAGCGGCTAGTAATGGGCGTATCAGAGGAATGAGCCATCAACATTGAGATCATGGGTGGTGCTGATGAGAAGGTTCCCGTGTGTGTGTGTTGGTATGGTAGGGGGCACAGCTGGTGCATCTGCCAGTAATCTCATTTGGTCTACCTGTGGCACCTGGGTCTGCCCCGTAACCTGTCAGCGAGCCTTTGACACTTAACGTTGCCTCAAACTACACCTGGACTAGCAACAGGCGCCGTGGTGACGTCACCGTCACTAAGTGGTGAATGGCGGTTGTGTTGGTATTGGTGTGTGTGTGGGCGTGCAGCATCAAGTGTTGGAAACAGCCTTGGAGACGCTGCTGGGTGACTCGCGGCTCCAGGAGAAACTGGCTGAGAACATCAACCAAGTCTTCTATAGGTGTGATGAGGTGGTGGCATGGGCTGACACAGATAGCCTTCCCTCTCAACTCCTCCTCTCCCATCGCCATCTGCCTCTCTTCTTCGTCTTCTGCTTAGTGGCAGGTCTTTCATTTCACTGTCCATCCCCCCTTCCTTTCAAGTCATCCAGTAGCTTCTTTCTTGGCCTCTTGACCTATTTCCTAACACGTTTGCAGAACTTCTCTCATTAAACTCTCATCTCTGAGAACGTGCCACCCAATCCACATCGTTTGCCTTCCCTGGGTTGTTCTCTTAAACTTCTCTCCTCCTGAACCTGCTCCAGAACTTTGTCATTCTATCTCTCCACCATCTACCCCCCACCAAATTACGCTTCAGAACATTGCAGGCATCTAACAGTTCACCGATTATAATTTATTCTTACGCCAATGATACATGCTTGTGAATCTCATGGCCAGGACACGGTCATTTTCAATGCGTGCATATCATCTATCTCTGCCCCTCTAATTATACTTTCCACACGAGCAGCCAGTGCCTACTGCCATAACCCTGAGTCGCTCTACGCTCAGCGCGAGTTCACTGCCCCTCTTCTGCTGCCCCTGTCGTCTGGAACTCCTTTGTAATTGTTCATGCTGCCCAAGTGCAGCTTCAAGTCCTCCCCCTCCTGTGCCTTTCCCTAGCAAATAAATTATAAAAAGTGTCACGTCATTAAACGCTTGTATATGAGAGAGTTTCATTTGTATAGAGGAGTCTTGTTTTAGCAAGAGTGACCTAGGCCACAAACATGAGAAAAGCGAAAGGAATGTAACAAAATTAGAGCAACGAAGTTGGATAGAAAGCAGCAGCGCAAAAACAACCGCTTTTCGTGTGAAATCGAATATGTCGCACACGCATAGATCGATGGTAAATAATAAATACCCTATCGCGCTAGTGGAATCTGCAGCCCACCACGCACGCAACGGGTTGTTGTGCGCGCGGCTGTGCGGATGTGGAGCTACTTTGCTTGTGGCAGAGGGCTGTGCAAGAACATCCATTGTTGTACTATCCCCAAATCTATGCTCCCCACCATCAACCAGCACTGACCAGCATGGAGAAGTATGGTCAAATAACCCCATTTTCTGCAACCGTCTGGAACGCTCTTGCGACATGAAGCCACTGAAGCTATGCACTTTTAAATCTAGTTTGAAAACTCATTTATTGATAACTACTTTTTGTGTTTAGTTTGTTGTTCTTCCCTGCACCTACCATTAGCACGGTTTCCTGCGTGCGGTGCGGAAGAAGTTCAGCTTCCATACTACATGTTAGGATACCGAGGCCTTCATCTGGTAGTGGATGATAGAAGGCTTTACATTGTCATTATTATTTTAGGTTTACATAAAGACTCGTAGACCCGGACAGAGACCTATAGACCTGCGTAGAGTCGCGTCGAGACCCAAAGAAGGCATGGAAACCCAGACTTCACAGCCAGCAATAACACAATGTGGTGACGTATGGCCAAATAACCCCCCTCGGACCCGTATGGTGTGGGCGGAGACCCTCATCCAGCAGTAGATTGACAAAAGTATCACACACGGGTTATGTCGGTGTATATTTCAAATTACTTGAGTTTTCACACCTGATGATGATTGCTGGTGTTGCAATCGAAACTTCGTGAGAATTGTATTGTTTAATTTTTATTATTTTATTATTTCCCTTCTACGTGACTTTACTGAAAGAACCAAGAATATGTTTGAGTTTTGTTCGATTATCACAGTGAGACTGTGGTGACGGTGACGGACGCGGTGGCTACTCCGTCGGCACCTTCCGCGGACAACGGTGATCCGCAGTCCATTGAAGACTTCCTCAACCTGCAGGTGAGTTTGTGGCACGGGCAGCGAGAAGAACACGTCTACTGGCCCGTGCGTCCTCGCAAGCCTTCTCCCAAGTGCGGCAGATTACATTTCCTGACGACACGCGTGGAGGGATTCAATTTCCCACCTGGCAAGATATTATAAAAACGAAACAATTATTTATATTTGACCAGGTAAGGTTCGCTGAGCTACACATCTCTTTTTCAGAATCAGAATCTCTTATTTAGACCGGAGGAATCCAATGAGCTATGAAGCTGTTTTTCACAGATGTCCAGTAGAGGCACGGAGTCAGAACGTTACAACAACAAACAATGCAAAAACACGATAGGAGTGCAATGTATAGGAAAGGTAAACAAATCGCTTAATTTTTTTTTTAAATACTACAAAACTTTTTATCTCACTGAGGTATTTACTTATTTTTCAGAAGCGACCATGATAAGCCACAACAAAGTCCTCGCAAGCCTTCTTCACAATAAAGTGGCTTATCATGTGGAAATGTATCGGAGCAAAATAATCTCAATGCATGTTTTTAAATGTGGGGGGGGGGGAAACAGAGGACCCGGAGAAAATCTACGCGACCATGGGGAGAACACGCAAACTCCAAGTACACAGGTGTCAGGGTTGGGATTGAATCCCCGATCCTCTGCATACCAGGCGAGGAAGATAACATCTCGCCACCGTGACCGTCGGTTCGATCCCGACCCTGACGAGATGCTTGTATATATGGACTTGGCAAGTTCTCCCTAGTTTCTCCCTCCATGTTTAGAAACACGGGTTTAGATTATTTGGCTACTATAAATTCCCACACGATCATGCCAGCCACTTTGATGAGCTGTCATGTGTGGCTGGATCTCCTGGCCAGCGGGCTTTACCTGAGATAATAAAATAGTTTAGTTTAAACAGAATTAACTTAAACAAGCGACGGGCCCAACAAACACCTGATCAACGACCCCAGCACCACACCGCCCGACTTCCATGGGTGACATTTAACCGGATCCGCACAAACCACGGTCAAGAACCCCGAGCCCCACACGGGGCCCCCGTTATATCGGCCCGGGCTGGGGCTGGCTCTGTCCCTCGCCCCGCCCACCTTCTAGATCTCTTGAGCTCTTTCCCGAAGGCTCCCGAGAGCTTCTCTATACCACGTGACCACCCAGCGGCCCCCGTCCACCGGTGGCCCCCCTCCAATATCCGGTCACGTGTCGGCAGGTCAACCAGCATATCATGCCCCAACGTAACCCTGGCTGCCTCACCGGGAGCCCGCACCGCACACTGTACGTGGTGCCTCTGCGCTTGCCAGCGCTCACCCAAGCCCTGCTAGGGCTGGTACTACGCCCAGCAAGCAGGCTACACATAATGCCAACATATCCGCCGTGGCCTCGCAGGGCCGGCACCACACAGTGACATTCACAGTCACTACACATGCTCCAAACCGTGGACCACCACTCAAAGAAATTGAGTGGCTAAATCACTTAGAACCGAATCTCTTAATAGACGCTCTACGCTCTTCAATAGGCAATATGAAATGGTCAAATCGTCACGGGTGGAGAGGAACCACAACTGATGCATTGCTTCCATGACCACTTGGAGCTGCGTCCTGCCAGTCCAGGAACAGCCTAGGAGCAGAGTCCCCACGCTCAATCTGCAGTGAGGCTCCCGCTCTCTCCCTCCACATTTCTATCCTCCCGCTGCCATTTGGTGCCAGAGGTGGAAGTCTGGAAGCTATGGTCGTGAAGGCAAGGCCTGCACGCGTGTGTGTGTGTATGCGTGTGGGGAGCACTCGCTGAGCTATTAGCGCGCTGCGCTACCAACCCGGCGACCTGAGGTTGATTCCCGCTTACGGCCAACACTAGTGATTATCTAAACAGGTCCTGGGCCTCCCCTAGGTACCTGTTGAGGTGTGTAAACATCACCACTGGGGAGACAAAAGGCGGCTGCGCGTGGTGCTGGCCACCCACCCTCTCGTGTGGCGTTCCGGCCTTGGTAGGTGCACGCTAACAGCACTTTCCCCAACAAGGGGATCTTTGTCTTTATTTTACGCCCAACAATGAGCAGAGCACTGGGCGGCTAGATCACAGCGAGTTGTCACTGTGGGCAACACAGGTGGTGCATCTGCAGTCAGATCTCCTACTGGACATCTGTGAAAAAGAGCTTTATAGCTCATTGAATTCTTCCAGTATAAATACTTATTCTGATTATGATCCAGTCATCTCAGGCAGTCAACCCATGGCACATAGGTCTGCCCCTTGACCTCCTGCCAGCACTTCACGCGACAACTTCAAAGTGCACCTCGCCTGGCACAAGCGTTGTGCTGGGGTCAACGGCACTTAGTGGCAAAAGGCGGCTGCCGCTATTGGTGTTGTTTCACGCCCATGCTCCGTGCCCCCCCCCGCCCCGCCCCCCTCGTGTGCAGGGCGAATGCAACATGAGCCGGGAGTCGATCCAAGACATCGTGACGCTCACGCAGTCCGACCCCGCCTTCCACTCCCTCTTCCAGCTCTTCGACTTGGGTGGGTGGGGGCCACCTGGCCACGGGGATTTTGCGTTCAAACGCAGTTGCTGAGCACAGGCCCAGAGGCCAGCGACAAACAGCACTATCAGTCTTTTTCCCAAGTTGTTGCAACCTTTTATCAATTAAAGAAGCACGTTAACTCTCTGTCACATCTTTGATGACTTGCTATTCAAGTAAAAAAAAACTGCAATTTGACTTTGATAATGAACAAATAATGTCAACACGGGTAGTCTATGCAGATGCCAAACCGAAAAAATGAGGTGCTGCGATATTGGCACAAACCTTGGGTTCAACTCCTGGCCTTGAACCCATCATTACCAGCGACGAAAACTTCGTTTGTGTCCAGGGGAAGGTGATCTCCTGCTCGAATGAGCATGGAGGCGGTTCTCTCATGCCCTTTACAGTCCTGAGCCACAGTGGCAGAAATTCCCGTGGCAGGCGCGAGCGTCTCCATCGAGGACAAACCACCAACGAGGGTGTGTGGTTCACCGCAGTCGGGTCGCTGTGCGGTTGGTCGCGCAGGAACGCAGGGCGGCTCGTCGGGAGGTGAAGACGAAAGCAACGAGGAGATGGATGAGGCAGAAGAGGGAGCGGCCAACGGGGAGGTGGGGGAGGAGGAGATATTGGGTGGCGCTGACTGCCACGGCGACGACGACGCAAACCCTGACGAGGGTCGGCAACGCGAGGAGGTGACGGAGATGGGCGAGGAGACGGAGCGACACGCCGGGGACGGAGGGGAGGGTGGGGATGGAGGGAAGGGAGACGACGTGAGGAAGCAGGGCCAGTGCACGCACGACTACCAGGACGTGGGCGGCGAGGTGTGCCTCGGGGACGAGTCACATGGTGAGTCCTCGCCCGTGCAGGCGGTGCCGCACGGCAGTCTCCACCGGTGCTGGGGGCGGCTGCTGCTGCGGTGCTGCCGTGTATTTATGTACGTATGTTGAACTTCTCTCGCACCGTACGTAGCCATCCGTGCTAACCGGAGGTGCAAACAAGGGATAGATTCTGATTTACACCATAGTGGTATTATGAACCTTTGTGGGTCCAACTGACCTCTCAAAGAACGCTGAAGGAGGTGAAAAGTTCCTTTCCTGCTGGTAGTGGTGCAAGGCAGCAATGGCAAGGGACGGTGGTTACCTGACCGATTCTTGTACATCCTCTTTTCTGAGTCCACCGCTGGATGAGGGCTTTCCTTCCCGTGCGGGTTGTGGGAGTTAATTGAGGATACTTGACCACACTTGAACAGTGCGATTAAGGTTGGGGCATCAACGTGGCAACGTAGAATCAAAATATTTATCCTGGAGAAATTAGATAAGCCTATGAAGCTCTTTTTCACAGATGTCCAGAAGGGACAAGGGGTCATAAAGTTACAATAACAAACACAATACAAAAATCGATGGGAGTGAAAAGTATAGGTAAGGTAAGCAAATCGCTAAATATAAATTTGTAAAAATAGATCAAGTTTAAGTAAAAATTGCATAAGTACACCAATTCCCAGGCTTGGGCAAGGCAGCAAAACAACAGAAAGAACAGTCCCAAGATGCACATTACAACCAACTATTGCCCTCTGACGTCCACCGTATAACTCACAAATATGTACCCCCAACGAAGCCTTGTGCCCAAGGCACCCTGAATCAAGGAACACGCAAGTGGTTAGCCTTAATTTTATTTAGAGAGGCGTAGCACCGCTGTTTTTTAACACACTACTCTCCGCAAACAAGACCGCACTCTATGATAGCTGGTGCCAAACTGTGCCACTCACCCTACCACATGGCAGGGCGTGTGGCACGTACATCATCGGAACGGAAAACAGTTAATGGGGCTCAGTGTTCCTAGTTGAGGCTCACAGAGCCAGACTATATGCCCGTCGGGATTAAATTTGTGCTTGACGCCACCGCCTTCACTTGCGTCGCTGTCCTTCAGCTTGCTTTCACGCGCTCTGCAGCGAGGGAGAAATACATTTTGAGAATGTTGCAGAAGAAGTGCGATTTTATTTATGAAGGGCGAACGGGGGAGGCGCAAGGTGAGTGCGGGGATGAGGTCACGAGCATCGACGGGCACGCTCCGAGTACGAGGGGAAGTCGGAAGCCTGGACGAGTAGAGGAGGAGGGGTTTATTTTAGTGTGATGAGTCTGGTGTCTTCCTCCCGCACCTTCGATTAGCACAGTCGGCTACGCACTATGCGACAGAAGTTCAACATACGTTTCTAGTCATGCCCGACTAATGCTGAGCTCTGTCAACATGCAATGGGTTTTTTTTAATAACATTGACAATGCATCTGTCCGTATCAGTGTGCATACACTGGACGCATAGTGAGAGGGAGTTCCAGGCAACTAGAGTAGCACTGGTGGAGCTGTCACCCAATTTTACATACTACTACGAATAATAATTCCTTGTCTGTTTTCTTACTGGACATCTTTGAAAATTTGTTTCATAGCTAATCGGATCCCTCCAGTCTGATTCTGGCATTGTATGTGGGAGGAAACTGGAAAACCTGTCGGAAACCCATTCAGAATAGGAGTGCAGACACAAGTGTTAACAATGCACCGCCTTATGCTACTTCATCTGGGCTACTAGAAATAAAAAAGTTTTTGAAGAAAATATGTTGACGTACAACACTACAAAATAAAACGTTGAGACTGTGACATTTGACAATGTCACAAAATGCCGTTGAGTAATCGTGCCTTGTGGTTGTAACATTTGTTTGGTTGCCCACAGACAAATCGTGCGGTGTCCCGATGCCTCCCGCTCACCTCGCCCATGAAACCCTCACCACGGCCATTCGCACGCAGGTGCGGGATAAACCGGTCGACGGCAGGGCGGCAAAATCTAAGCGGGCAAAGCCGCCCACCAGAGTTGCGCTCCCTGGCAAGCGGCTGGGCAGGCCCCGATCCTCCGCGAAATCGAGTGGAAAAAATTCCCCCAAAGTCTCCCTCAAAAAGCACGGGGCCGGCAAAGACGCCACAGGAAGCCAGGGCGCCGTAGTCGATCCGGCCGTGGGGGTTAAAGCGGCGGCGCCCGTCAGGCAAGGAGACGGTGCCAACGTCGAGTCGGTCATGGGGGGCAGCGGAGATGCGGCGGGCGGCGCCCCCGACGGCGCCACGGGGACGCCGGCGAAGAAGAAGCATCCGCGCAAAAGAGCAAAGGGGAAGAAATTGGCCGGCGCCGACACGACCGTGGCGGCCGCTTCCGCCTCCGCCGTGACTCCCGCGGGGCCCTCCCTGCCGGGTGCTTCTGAGGGAGCGCCGGCGTCCGTGGAGGCTGCTCGCCGCCCGGCGGCAGCGGCTGCGCCGGACTCGGCGGGCAGGGAGGTGGCGGGCGGCGCGTGGGCCAGCGATGTGGAGCTTCGGAGCGCCGTGTCGTCCATCACGGGCGAGAGCGCGGCGACCTCGGATGCGGGTGGTGGGTACCACTACCCCGGCAGTCCAGGGAGGCCCCTCACCCCCCAGCAGTGCAGGTGAGGCCCCTTGCAAAGGGCACGGCGAGGAAGTAGACGGTTAAATAAGATAACCAACCTGCACTGACCAGCGTGGTGAAGAATGGTAAAATTACCTCCCTGTGTCCCAATCTTGTTTTTTTATATTTTTCCCTCCTTGCACCCTACCACTGGCATCAACTTCCCCTGTACATTAAACAACACTGTCCATAGACTTAGCACTGCCCATAGACTAAGCACTGCCCATAGACACAACACTGCCTATAGACTTAGCACTGCCCATAGACTTAGCACTGCCCATAGACACATCACTGCCCATAGACTCAACACTGCCCATAGACTTAGCACTGCCCATCGACTAACACTGCCCATAGACCCAACACTCTACATGGACACAACACTGCCCATAGACTCAACACTGCCCATAGACACAACACTACCCATCGACTAACACTGCCCATAGACCCAACACTGCCCATAGACTTAGCACTGCCCATAGACTAAGCACTGCCCATAGACACAACACTGCCTATAGACTTAGCACTGCCCATAGACTTAGCACTGCCCATAGACACATCACTGCCCATAGACTCAACACTACCCATAGACTTAGCACTGCCCATCGACTAACACTGCCCATAGACCCAACACTCTACATGGACACAACACTGCCCATAGACTCAACACCGCCCATAGACTCAACATTGCCCATAGACTCAACACTGCCCATAGACTCAACATTGCCCCTGTACGTTAAAGAGTCCCGCTCCTTCACCTCATTCTGTTCCTCTCTTAAAGCCTCGCCTCCTCTTTATTGCCCATTCTCTTCCTTTTTCCTCCCTTCACCCCTCCATTCCTTCCCGTCCTCTCCTATCCTTTCGTGACCCCACGTGCCCTCTGTTACGGACACTAATTTCTCGCCCCTTGCACATCCCTGCCATCTAAATCACTCTGTTCTAGAGCACCTTGAACTAAAGTGCTCTATAAATATGAAACACGATAACATAACATGTTCCACATAGCATGGGGAGGCCCTCAGCCAGCAGTGAATGGACAAAAGGGCTGTTGCCTATGTGCTTTATATTTATAACATTTATCTTTATATAGCGCCTTTCATCATATTTGTGAATATATCTGTGGCTGCACTGAAGAGTCTACGTATGTACAGTGGAACCTCGGTATACGTCATTAATTCGTTCCAGAAGGTAGGACTGATACCGAAAATGACGTATACCAAACTAATTTTTCCCATAAGAAATAAAGGGAAAGGAAATAATCCGTTCCAGAGGAAAATAAATGATATTTTATGTAGCATATTATACATTCATGGGGTTGTATAAAATAATTTAGACACTAACTACTAAAATGCATACAGAAGCCACGTGACCCGCGCTGCTGCCAGCTGCGCTGGTCACGTGGCGTGCCTCAACCCCGCACGTCACGCGCGCCTCGACCCGGGGCTCCACCCTCCATGGGGGCAGCCCACGCCCCCCGCCCCTCTCCCCCACGCCCCCCGCCCCTCTCCCCCACGTGCCCCGCCCTTCTCTCCCACGCCAACCCGCCCCTCGCTTTGTTTCAGTCGTGAACGGGCATACGCGGGTGCTGTACACGGTGACTCATCCCGACCCATACAAGTTCTAACAAACGCGTCGTATCCCAAGCAAGACGTCGTATCCCAAGACATTTTTTCTCTCGAAAAAACACGACGTATACCAAATTCGACGTATTACAAAGCGATCGTATACCGAGGTTCCACTGTATTCCAAAGCGGTCGTATACCGAGGTGCCACTGTACGTTGAACTTCTTTCGTACTATACGTAGCCAACCATACTAATCGATGAACCTCACCCGCTGTCGCGTGCCGCTACCCGGTGTAGGCCGGAGCGACACGTGGTCACGGCGTCACCGTTGGGGGCGCCGGCGATCAGGGCAGTGCTGCCTCCCGCCGACAGACGCTGCCCCCAGCAACCACGGGGTGGCGAGCGTCAACGGCACCAATCCACTCCCGAGCGGTTGCACGTGCTGGCCGCCGCGCCACCGCCTGGTGAGTTCACACGGATGCAGAGGTCAGCCAGCGAGTACACACAGCCAGGGAGTGGGCACAGCCAGTGAGTGCGGGCAGGCAACGAGCGGGCGCAGCCACCCAGTGGGCACACCTAGCGAATGCAACTCACAGGCACAGAGTTCGTGGAGACTTCAAGGTTTTTGGAGAATTCGTAGAGGGGGCAGTGGTTCGTGCGCCGTGCTATGAATCCATCCACCCGAGTTTGGATCCCAGCCGTGGCTGCTAACATCAGTGGCGAGTGATGTCTTAACCGGTCCAGGTCACACTCCCCTTTACCGACCCAAACTGCCCAGTGTGGTCTACATGTCTCTACGTTGCATGTCTCTGTGTCTACCTGTCCAACAGTCTCTACCCCGTTAGCCACCACTGCCGTCTGCGGAGTCACCGTCTCCAGGAACGCTGACGCGCCACTTTGCGCCATCGCGACGGACAGATTCTGGGGGACCCTGGTGCCGAGCATGCCACGGCATCCCCCGCCACTTGCCATGGGCAACATCGCCGTTCCCGCGGCAACGGTCACCGTGTCGACCGCCACCCATTTCCTAACGACATCGCCGCCGAAGAACATCACCATGCGCGGGACGGTGTTACAGCCAGGGATCATCACGTCGCCGGGTAGGTGCCACGTTGGCACCGGCCGGGCCGCTACTGGCCGTAATGAAGACAATGCCGTCACCTCCGGCCTCCAACGTTTTTGAGCCCTTTTGTCTTGAAGCCTTTCCTCTTGCCCGCAGGTGGTTTGTAACGGTGGTGTGAGAGGCTCAGGGATCCTTCCTGAGATGTTGGCTTCAATGCCTGGGTCTGGTTCTCTCTACAGGGATGCATCGATGTTAATTACCTCGCTTGGTATACAGGAGAGTTGTAGGTACAATTCCGACCCTGATACTTGTATATTGGAGTTTGCATGTCTCTCTCCCTGTGATCGCGTGGATTTTTCTCCGAGGCCTCTGTTTTTTTCCCTCCAAATTTAGAATCGATATGCGTTTGGCTGCTTTGTTGAGCTATCATTTGTGGCCAGGTCGCTTCTGAAAAAGAGCTCACTAGCTCAGTGGGCCTTACCTGGTAAAATAAATAAATAGTTTAGTTATGGTTTAATTGCTTTGCCCGATACTCAGATAGAACTGCTGAGAAAGTCCAAAACCCCGGGGCTGAGTGTCTCTCGGAGTATTCATAATGACACCGAGAGACACCGAGCTCATGGGACTCGGTGGACAGGAATTCCAGCACCGGAGGCAGCAGAGGAGGAGGGACGTTGCCCATTGAGCCGAGTGTGTCTGTCCAGTGACGTTTGCTGTGTCTCTGCCCGCGTGTCTAGATACGGGCCCTACGTTCTTGGTGCGCCCCGTGCTGCAGGGCGTGGTGGGAGTGCTGTCCGTGCTGGGTTCTCCTCCGCGCACTTTGTCGCTGCTGCCTCACCAGGTGAGGCGGCGAGGGCGCGTGACAGCGCCTGGCCCTAGGGCCGATAAAACTCCACCGGCTCGTTAAGAAAAGGGATCGTGCCCCGCCCCCATATTAGCCCGCCATTTTGAGAACACGTTGCCGTCTCTCCTCACCGCCCCACCCGCCCCCCTCCCCCCGCCGGTTGTACCGCCCTCCGTGTGGATTCGCAGATCGTGCAGCTGTCGCCTCCTCGACAGCCTGTGGCTGCTGCTGCTGCCGGCGCTGCGCACACGAGGAAGTCCCGCTTCGCCGCGTCCACCCCGTCCAAACCCATCGCCATCTCGCCCGGCATGAGCCACGTGCTGCTCTCCCCGGCACCCAGCACCTCCACCACCACCATCTCCTCGCCCACCTCGCAGCCCCTCATCGTGTCAGGTAAAAAAAAGGTCACCCCCCCCCTCAGAAAGTGGTAGTGAATCGGCAATGTTCGTTCCGCGTGACAGCTTTGTCGATGGGCGGCATCGGGTTTGTGGGGGGGGAGGGGAGGCAGTACCACGGTGCATTATTTTTTACTCGCCTGATGATTTGACCGCAAATATTTTTTTATTCCGATTGGAGGCGAGAGCAGTTTTAGTCGTTAGCGCCGTGCGACATCGCAGGTGAAATGACGTGAGCCACCCGGCCGGTCTCTTTGTCACCAGCAGGCTCCTCGCTGGTGTCGGGGATGAGTCGCATCTGCAACCTGGCCGACCGGTGAGCCCACGTGGGGTTGTGTAAACGCTGTTGCTCGTGGCTGGAGAGAGCGGCCAGCCGTGTGTGTGGTGTGTGTCGGGGATTTACACGCAACGAGTTTGGAGGGAGGTTCGTCGAGAAAACAGACTCTGGGGCGTGAGGCAAAGTCGTCGTTGATATGAGAGATGAGCAGCTGGTTCTTAGCGTTGTGTCTTCTGAGGCGCCTCAGTAATTCGGAGTTGTGAATAATAATCGATGAAGACGTTCTGTTCCCGTATCGCAACGTGTACTACGCAGTCGAGGCAATGTCGTGCTGTTGGCTGTATCGCAAGGTATCGTCCTGTTTGGGTTGATACCCTGCGATAGTATCGCTGAGCGTTGCCCACCTGTGCCCTGCGTGTCAGTGTTGCACAAGAGATTATGACGGTTGTTTTTGTGCACCGCACGATGATCCCAACCACCTGGGTTCTGTTGCTGGCTGTAGTCAACATCATTGGCAAGTACTTGGGCCTCCCTTAGGCCAAGTCTGTCAAAAATTAGTATCTGATGCAGTCTTTAAACGTCAGCGTGGGGGGGTGACCAGGTATAGTGCTTGCGCCACCAACCCCTCGTGCACCTTGCTGGCGCTGATAGGCGCTCGCCAACCGCTCCGTCCGTCCCGCGCGTGCAGGCTCGAGCGCTGCAAGGAGAAGGAATCACTCGTGCCGGTAGAGATTTTGGCGTCGGCGCACAAACTCTCCGAGCCGCGTGACGCCGAGAGGGCGGGCGGGAGCAGCGTGAGCCCCGCGGACGCCGCCCCGGCGCCACCCGCCCCTCACCGGCGCGTTCTCACCTTCGACGGCGTTTCCCTAACGCGGGCGCCGGGCGGCTCCCGGAGAACGTCGGGCGACGCTGGGCCCGCCGCCGCCGCCGCCTCCTCGCGACGCTCGCCCAAGTCTCCTGCACAGACGGCCAGGAAGGCGGCGACGGGCGACGCCAAGGACGTGCCCGGCAAGAGGGGGAAGGGGGAGGAGGGCGCGGGGGCGGTTGCCGCGTCCGCTTCGGAGAGGAGGACGGCGGCGGCGGCCAAACGCGACGCCGGCAGGAGCCCCGCCAAGGGAGGCGACGCCGGCAGGAGCCCCGCCAAGGGAGGCTCCGCCGCCAGGGCCAGGCCCGATGGCAAGGCCGACAGGGGCAAGTCCAAGAGTCCCCCGGACTCGGCGGCCGGCAGGAAAGTGGGCAGAGCGGGGGGCAAGAGCGGCCCTCGCGCGGAGCCCGGCCGGAAGGGGGACGCCGCCCCCGCCGCCGCCGCCGCGCCGGCTCAGCGCAGCCGCAAGGGGCAGCGGCGCGACAAGGAGTTCCCGCGGCTCGTCACGCCCGTCATCAAGAGACCCGTACCGCTGTCTGACGCGAGCGCGGGGGCCGAGGCCCCGGCGGCGCTGGCGGCGGTGGTGGTGCCGAGAGCGGCGACGCGGAGGGCGGGCCGCGGGGTCGGGAAAGAGGCGACCGCGGCGGCAGCTGCCGCGTCCACGAAGACGAACACCGCGAAGGCGAATGTGGCGGCGCCGGCGGCGCTGTGCCCGCTCACGCCGGACCCGTGCGCCCGCAGCCCCGCCAGCGAGGCCGGCAGCGAGAGCAGCGTCAGCATGGCCGCCCAGACGCTCGTCTTCCTCTCCCAGGCGGCCAAGTCGCGCGGCGCTACGGCCACTCCGCCTCGCCGGCCGCCCGACGGTTCCCCGGCGGAGCGCGACGCCGGAGGCTCTGCCGCGGTGACGATGCCGCCGCCGGCGCACAGGCAGTCGGCGCAGAAGCAGCAGCGGCGCGAAACAGACGGCACGCCCGTGTCCCCGCGGAGGTCGGCGCGCCACCTCCTCGCCGAGTCGCCCAGGTCCCGCCCGGGGACGTCGTCGGGGAAGGCGGGGGGGGAAGAGGCGCAGGCCGGGGCGCCGGCGGGCGAGACGAGGAGGGGCACGAAGAGGAAGGCGAGGGGGGATGAGGGGGGGGCGGCGGCAGAGGAGGCAGCGGCGGCGGCAGCAGCGGGCAAAGCCGCCCAGGACTCGAACGCGTTCAAGAGCCCCTCGCCCGTGAGGAGGTGCGGGAGCAGCGCCAAGAACGTGAGTGAGAGGGGTGAGCGGGAGGGGTGAGTGGGATGAGTGAGTGGAGTGAGCAGGAGGAACGTGTGGAGGCGGTGGCGCAGCAATTAGCCCACTGCACGATGACCCCAGTGAACCGAGTTCTATTCCTCGCCAGCTCGAATACCTGAACCAGTCCTGGGCCCTTCCCTAGGTTGGCTCTGGCGTACATGAGTACCTGATGCGGTGTGTAAACAAGAACACAGATAGTCCCCGAGTTACGATGGTCCGACTTACGATATTTAGATCTTACCATGGCGATAGCGATACGACAAAATTGTAAAATATTTTAAATTTCGTGCGGCAGGCAATCGTAGCAGTGTACGAATCTTGGTGAGTACAGTACAATATGACACGTTACGATACGTTCAATACATGTATATGTAGCTTTAGCGATTTCATTTTAGGGTTACCACGATACGATACGTTCACTGCATGTTAGGATTGTTTCCTGAAAAAACTTTCTATTAAATTGCAGTTCATATAGGTAGGTTAAGAATTTACCTCGTTTTTTTTACTTTACATTTTAGTGTGCAATACAGTATTGTAATTAATAAATACACACAGTATATAGTTTATACAGTACGGTACTGTAAATTGCTCTGTTTTGATGAATTATCACTATTCTTTAAGACTCTTGGGTAGGCTAGGCCATCTTCGACTTACGATATTTTTTACTTACGATGGGGTCGTATCTCCATCGTAAGTAGAGGACTACCTGTACTGGGGAGACAAATGCAGCCGGGCGTAGTGTTGGGCACACCGCCCCCTCTTGAGCTGCGTTGGCCTTTATCGGTCCTCGCTAACATGGGGGCCCTTTTGTGCATGCAAGGGGCTGGTGGATGATGAGGATTTTGCGCAGGGGATCTGCAGTTGCAAGGAGGGCAGCCAGTGAGTTGATGAACCCATGTGTGCGAACCGCCTTGTGTCATCCCACTCTGTGTGCGATGCACAGTCTTTCTCTGGGCGCTCTTTAACATTGGCGTTGGCCCGAACATCCCTCCATAACGAGTGTTGAGACTTTAACGGGGCTTTCTTGGGTCTGGATCTCCTCGCAGGGTGACAGGACTACGTGCGGTGCGAAAGAAGTTCAACATACATGCGTTTCGTTGTCAGTATAAATATTTATTTATCTCGATTGGCTCTACAAACAGAAGGCCCGCTGTAATAATCTTGTTCTGGAAAGGTAATAACTCGACACATCAGCCCATAACACCGTTGCCTTCATGTACAATATATAATTAATAATTGTGACATTTCCAGCAAAGTCCTTTTTTCAGATCAAACTCGGGTCATTGCCAGAAACGTCGCCTATTAATATTTTTTCCGTTGTCTGTCGCGGTGTTATTGGCGAGTGTGTCGAGTGGTTTTTGGTGCTCGTGCGTCACTGCCCCACGCCGCTTCACCGATTAATCTGTTTTGAGAGCAGAGGTGCGAGTTTCACAGTCCTCCGCGAAAAGCACTGCATCGCAAGGCGTGCGTCCCACCACACCCAGCGCCACGCCTCCATTATTTATTTAAACCCTCGCGCGGCCCTTGCGTCCCCCGGCGCCGGAAATCGCCGCAGTTCTTACGCCTTCGTTATCGCTTAACCTCAGTGCCTAATTCGCCACTTGCTGTCTCCCTCCAGAAACGGAAGAAACAGAGGCTCGACTACTTCCCTCCTGGCGTCGACGTTGAGCAGTTCCTCGCCAAGCTGCACTACGTGGAGTAGCCCTTGCCCCGCCCCGCCCCCCAGCCCCCTGCGACACTTCCACGTCAGTTTATTGAATTTTTGGTGGCACAAGCGTTGGCGGCGCTGCAGATTTTCCGCGCCACCCCCAAGGGTTCCCGAGGAGAGGTTGGACTGCTGCGACGTGCCTGCATCGCGAAGTGCCTGCATCGCGAAGTGCCTCCCGAATCGTCGCTGTCTCTCCCTGACTGTGATGAAAGTGATTTGTGATAATTTTTTATTTATCGTTGTTATTGACAAAAGTTTCAGTGGGAACAGCGTCCCTAGGGTCCGCCATCGATCGGTGCGTGGATGCTCGAAGAAGAGCCCCGTTCGTTTTTAGTGTTGGGGTTGCGTCTGTTTTTAAACGCAGCAGGGATGTTGCCCCGTTTTCTACACGTAACGGCCCTCTCTCACTAGACTGCTTGGATGTGGGTCTTCCTGTGCAGTGTTAAATAACAATGGCTGTGAACTAATCCCAATGCAGCCTCCCATGCAGCAGCAGCAGCGGCAGCAGCAGCGGCAGCGGCTGGTTGTGTTTGTGTGAGGGGACTGCAGAGAAAGAAGTTGCTCCAAGTGCACCGACCAAAGTGGATCTGCTTCACGACTCCTTCGACTCGGAGTTGACGTCGTCATTGTAAACGGTCACGAGGAGACTGGAGAACCCTTTTTGGCTCTGGTCTGCCGGTGTACCAGCCACCCCGTGCCACTTTAGATATCGCGCGTAGGAGCTGGGACCATAACTCGGACCGTCGCTCTTTTTTCACAACTTGTAAAAATTTACGTTTGAGTGGTCGGTCTAGAAGCGATGATGTCGTTCGAGTGTTTGATTCGCAGTTTAAAAGGTTGAGAGTTCCAATCCCAGCTCGGGGTCAATTTAGCCCATCATCAGCATCATCATCATCATGATCACTGCCCCTCCAGGATTGATTTAATGTATTGTGCAGTCGCTCTATGTGGAGATTGTGCCCCCCAGCATGGGAACATGGAATTTAGACATTTGGCCGAGTTAAGCTGCTGTAGAGGGGGGGAGAGTTATTGCTCGTTTTAGGTAGGGAGTTGACAGCACGGAGTAAGGTTAAGTGTTTCACATGTAAAATATTCAATGTTGACTGAGCATTCCAACAGTAAACAAAAGTCAATATAATCCATATATTATGTTTTAAATACCGAATTGGCAACGGAAGCCCTTTGAAGTGAATTCAAATGAACTCGACTAGTGCCGCTATTTTGACCAAAACCTCCCAAAACATCAAACCCAACCAAATAAAAGGTGGGTTTACATTTTTTCTCACGGTTCGGTCAAATAGATTGCGCAACTCTTATTTATTTGACTTTGCGTGAACAGGGGTAAATATATAAGGTTAATGTACATAGAACATGTGAATAAAGTGTACGGAAAGTGTTACAGATGAGGGTGTGTGGTTCGTGGGAGGTTACACGGTTTGGTGTCGAGCACTTGGTGAGCCCTCCGTGTCTCCACGTCTGCCCTGGCTCCACGACCACGGTGCCGATGGTCGCTTGTGGAAGTTTTTGCCGAAATTCGATGTCTTGTTTGGGTCACGACCAAAACTTTCTTGTTGCCAACGGTTCTGTTTGTGTCGCACCCTGCTGGATTTCGTTGTGGGGAGAGGGCCCAACTCCCCATAAACTGTGTTTGTTCACATCCCATTCGCGGGCGATTCAGCCCACCATCCCTCTTGGGTCGAAAACACGAGTACCACATTGTGCGAAGTCGACAGTGGTTCATCCTGGTTGACGAGCCCTCGCCAGAGGAAACGTGGAATTTCCACCGTTGGCACAGGACCACCAAGAGAGGCGAGTGCCGTCCTGAAGTTCATCGTTAGAAGCTGCCCATGTATATGGCAACCGTGGCACGTTTGTGCTTTGCCCCGTGGCTCAACAAGCCGTCTGCGTGTTAAGCGATTGTTACGTCCGTGGCTTAAGTTCGCCAATCGGTGGAAGTTGTTTGACCTTCCCTCCCCACACTGGTCAGTGCCGTGTCCCCTTTTTCAGCGAATCCTATGAGTGCCTCCAGCCAGTATAGTTAAACAGGTTTCAAGGTTTTATTTCAAATGCAATATCACCCCCCCCCCTCCACTCGAGGGGATATCTGTACAAACAGATTGAAAGATAAAATTGGGTAAAAAATACACAACGATGAGTTGCATTTGCGGAGAAAGCAATGAGGGAGTGGAAACTCCGGAGCGCAATGGAGCGCGGCCGGCAAGGCGCTCCAGGTTCGCGGAGCGGCGCTTGAAGCCCCCCCCCCCGCCACCCAGGGTCGGGTTGCAAAATCCACAGTTGGGGGAGTCGGCCCTTCTCTGACGCACGAGGGACCAAACGGTCCCACACGTATGTAGGTACAGGACCGTGCAGCTGCTTTATAGGCCAAAATAGCCAGCTTGTACTGGACACTACTAAAACTAAACTTTTTTTGTTTATTTGACTAGGTAAGGCCTACTAAGCTATATAGCTCTTTTTCAGTAGCGAACTGGCTACAAATGATAGCTCAACAAAGTGGCTTATGTGGAAAATGATAGCCAAATACTCTTAAATGCACTGATTCTCAATGTGTTAGGGAAAAACTGGAGTACCCGGAATAAAATCCACACGACCACGGGGAGAGACATGCAAATTCCAAAAAGACAGGCGTTTCGAGTCGGAATTGAACGCACGACCTGCATACATTGGGGCCCAGTCTCCAATGACTCCTTTAGGAGCCAGGAAGGAGAAATTATCTGAATTGCAGGTGGTCCCAATTTATCCCGGAAGCAAGTCATACGAGTGCTGGGGAGAAATTGGGGCGAACATCCAAACCAAGAGAACTGGTAAGTGACCAGTGGGACTGCGGGGTAGATCGCACTCCGGGTGGGGTAAATATTATTAGTGGAAATCTCTACATTGCACCTCAGAATGTATAATCCTGGTGGTGGAGCAGTCGGGATGGAGCAGACTGTCAACCATCCTGAAGGGCTCAGCAGGCCGGTTCCTTGCCGAGTCGATCTTCCTGGCAACAAAATGTTTTTTTCCAGGAAGCCCGCTTTCATAGACTCCCATTGTCAGACAACCCGGACTGCCCAGTTGGCATCACGGTGAAATCTACGCCAACAACGTTCCTTCCGTGGTTCGTGCTTCTGCAAGCGGAGCTTAACGGAATACCAAGGGGCACTTGCCACTAATCGATAAAGTGCAACATCATGAATAAAAGAGCGGAGTCTACAATAATACTTGTCGGTGGTGCCACTACACGGGATTGAGGATAAATGAGTCCTTCCGGGCATTTCGAATCTAATGAAGTTTGAATCCACCACACCATTTGAGAGGGGTATGAGTGCCTCGAAGGACACCCTGAATCACCCTGTGATGAGTTCATGGTGGGGGGGGGGGGGAAACTAAGATTGTCAAGTTTATGGCTGTGATCATGAGTTGCACCACAAACAGATGGGCTTAAGCCCATGGACCCGATAGACAGGTGGTAAGTTCATCCATGGGATCGTCAACCCAAAATCAGTGGGAAGATCACCTCGGATATTTAAAATTGCTCCTCTAACCCAGCGGTAAATCGGCTCAGCCGCGGTATAGGCGGCCGGGCTGCGGTGGAAGCGGCCGGAATAGCAGTCGAGGCAGCTGGGCCGCTGTGTAGGCAGCTGAAGCCATGGTGGAGGCGGCTGGACCAGCCATCAGGGTGGCCAAGCCGCGATGGAAGTGTGCCAAGTCACTTGCATAGGCGGCCAGAGCAGCGATGAGGCAGCTGGAGCCACCATCACAGCCAGCAGGTGATGTACAGGCCTCTCTCACCATCACAGCAGGTGATGTACAGCAGGCCTCTCACACCATCACAGCCAGCAGGTGATGTACAGCAGGCCTCTCTCACCATCACAGCAGGTGATGTACAGCAGGCCTCTCTCACCATCACAGCAGGTGATGTACAGCAGGCCTCTCTCACCATCACAGCAGGTGATGTACAGCAGGCCTCTCTCACCATCACAGCAGGTGATGTACAGCAGGCCTCTCTCACCATCACAGCAGGTGATGTACAGCAGGCCTCTCACCATCACAGCAGGTGATGTACAGCAGGCCTCACTCACCATCACAGCAGGTGATGTACAGCAGGCCTCTCTCACCATCACAGCAGGTGATGTACAGCAGGCCTCTCTCACCAACACAGCAGGTGATGTACAGCAGGCCTCACCATCACAGCAGGTGATGTACAGCAGGCCTCACTCACCATCACAGCAGGTGATGTACAGCAGGCCTCTCTCACCAACACAGCAGGTGATGTACAGCAGGTGATGTACAGCAGGCCTCTCTCACCATCACAGCAGGTGATGTACAGCAGGCCTCTCTCACCATCACAGCAGGTGATGTACAGCAGGCCTCTCTCACCATCACAGCAGGTGATGTACAGCAGGCCTCTCTCACCATCACAGCAGGTGATGTACAGCAGGCCTCTCTCACCATCACAGCAGGTGATATACAGCAGGCCTCTCTCACCATCACAGCAGGTGATGTACAGCAGGCCTCTCTCACCATCACAGCAGGTGATGTACAGCAGGCCTCTCTCACCATCACAGCAGGTGATATACAGCAGGCCTCTCTCACCAACACAGCCAGCAGGTGATGTACAGCAGGCCTCTCTCACCAACACAGCCAGCAGGTGATATACAGCAGGCCTCTCTCACCAACACAGCAGGTGATGTACAGCAGGCCTCTCTCACCATCACAGCCAGCAGGTGATATACAGCAGGCCTCTCTCACCAACACAGCAGGTGATGTACAGCAGGCCTCTCTCACCATCACAGCCAGCAGGTGATATACAGCAGGCCTCTCTCACCAACACAGCAGGTGATGTACAGCAGGCCTCTCTCACCATCACAGCCAGCAGGTGATGTACAGCAGGCCCCTCTCACCATCACAGCCAGCAGGTGATGTACAGCAGGCCCCTCTCACCATCACAGCCAGCAGGTGATGTACAGCAGGCCTCTCTCACCAACACAGCAGGTGATGTACAGCAGGCCCCTCTCACCATCACAGCCAGCAGGTGATATACAGCAGGCCTCTCTCACCAACACAGCAGGTGATGTACAGCAGGCCTCTCTCACCATCACAGCAGGTGATGTACAGCAGGCCCCTCTCACCATCACAGCCAGCAGGTGATGTACAGCAGGCTTCTCTCACCAACACAGCAGGTGATGTACAGCAGGCCCCTCTCACCATCACAGCCAGCAGGTGATATACAGCAGGCCTCTCTCACCAACACAGCAGGTGATGTACAGCAGGCCTCTCTCACCATCACAGTCAGCAGGTGATGTACAGCAGGCCCCTCTCACCATCACAGCCAGCAGGTGATGTACAGCAGGCCTTTCGATTTAAAGCTTTCGTGACTGCAGGGATTCATCTTCTTGGTTCTTTCGGTAAAGTCACGTAGAAGGGAAATAATAAAAAGAAAACATAAAATTCTCACGTTTCGGCCAAAACGCAAGCAGCTGTCCTCATGTGAAGAACATGTCTGTCGGAAAGGTTTTCGACAGACCTGTTCTTCACCTGAGGACGGCTGCTTGCGTTGTGGCCGAAACATCGTGAGAATTGTATGTTTTCTTTTTATTATTTTATTATTTCCCTTCTACGTGACTTTACCGAAAGAACCAAGAAGATACAGCAGGCCTCTCTCACTAACAGCAGGTGATGTACAGCAGGCCTCTCTCACCAACACAGCCAGCAGGTGATGTACAGCAGGTCTTTCTCACCAACAGCCACACCTCACGTGGAGTACGGTACAAGAGCCACACTTCGAAAACGTGTCTTTTAAACTTGAGTGTTCTCTTTAATTGGAGGAAGGAAAAAATAACTTACACACTCAATTCCACAATTCCGAATATTCCTCTTCGGATTCGAGCAGTTGTCCATATCACTCTGTTTCCTATATCTGCTATCACAGTAAAACTCTATTTACAGCATTGCATATTCCCACATTTTTCCCCACCCCAAACCATGCCTCCCCCCCCAAACAAACCACACCCCTCCCAACTATATATAGTTTATTGTTATCATTATGCAGCGTTCACTGTGTGCCCCAACATGGGAAGACGTCTGGTGCACAGGGGAACCGGTTATAAGGGAAAGGTCATGAAGGGTGTTCAGTTTTTGTTCACGTTCTGTCAGGGGTCACATTCAGAAGTATTAACTTCTTCCACAGGCGCCGCACTGCCAGGGAGTGCGACGTGGCCTGGATACCGGATTAATGATTTTTTCTTAATAACGACTACAACGTAGGCCCAAGCTCATTGCCACAGCGTCGGCATTCGTGAACTTTTCCTCTGCGCTGGAGAGGTGATTTGGGAAAAAATGGTAAACCTGTTAGATGTTAAGAATGTTGATGTCGGAAGGATCCTTCACATTGCTCAAGCCCAAATGGCTCTTCCTAAGGCAACAAGCTCCAATGAATTCCAACCTCGCAGCCTTCCCCTGTTGCGCACCCAACACCCGCAGAGTTACGACGATAAATCCCGTCGGTCCACATGCGCTCGCATACCCACGGCGTGCATTAGAGTTAGCGGGCACCCCCCTCCCGTTGTGGTCACGAGGGCCAGGCCAATGAATGCCCCGTTCTGCTGGGTGGGAGAAGTCCAAAATCACATTCAAGAAGAACACTAAAGACAAACACCGCTCTCGCCTTGTCGCAACACGACCGGGCGTTTGTGTTCGACACGAGCCTGAAGCTCCGTTAGCGCAATCCCACGCGGCCACGTACTTTGTTGTAGCTCTGCGAATTCGCCGCGTTGACGTGTCGATTACGGACAGCAGCCACCTCACCGTGACATCATTTGACAGCCGTGATGCAACGCACCTTATGCGTAAATTGAAAGGTTTTTTTTCTCATTGACAAGCTTCAGTGATGGGGGACACACCTAACTACACACGAGCCTTCTTGGTTCTTTCGGTAAAGTCACGTAGAAGGGAAGTAATAAAATAATAAAACATAATAAAATTATTCTCACGACGTTTCGGCCACAACGCAAGCAGCCGTCCTCAGGTGAAAACCAGGTCCGTCGAGGCGACAGTCTGAATGAAACAGCACACGACTCTGTCGCCTCGACGGACCTGGTTTTCACCTGAGGACGGCTGCTTGCGTTGTGGCCGAAATGTCGTGAGAATAATTTTATTATGTTTTATTTTTATTACTTCCCTTCTACGTGACTTTACCGAAAGAACCAAGAAAATGAATCCCTGCTGTCACGAAAGCTTTAAATCAAAATTTACACACGAGCCGTTTGTGTCTCTAGAAGGGTCATCTTATTTTAAGTGCATGCCACCAATGCATTAACACAAACACATGGTGGGGAGTTACTGCATCATGGACAGTTAATGCACGGCGAAGCTATAAACAAAGTCGTGTTTCCCTTGCACGAGCCTATGCCAATAACTCACAAACTGGGATATTAGATCTGGCGGTGTCACTCTGTGGAAGAGCGCTTGGGTCACATTCAGAAGGCCATCATCATCATCACCATTGCCATTAATCTCTCCAGGGTGGATGAAAAAGGGCACCACTTTGTTGGACAGTAAACTGTGGTTGTGCTATGGAAAGACTGGCCTCTGCCAGGAGAATGTGGAATGTCACCACTGTTCCAGAGCCACCAAGATGAGCACCGCTTCATTGTTTGACCAGGGACACACTTTGGCCGTGTATAATTGACTTGTTGCTTAACACTCTCAGAATATTTTGTATTGTTTTATTTCAGGTAGCTACCAGTTGTATTAGGCATTCAAAGACAGATATACAGAGGGCAGCATTTTCTGTTACTCTGTCCTGGGCAAACAAGGGTTAATGTGAGCAGGGTGAGACTGGCCTTCTAATGTACTCTGGCGATTTGACAATTCCCATTAAAAGCAGCAGCGGCACAGAGCTGTTACGAGGCAGTGGACCCCACACAGTGCATCCCCCACGATCAATGGGAGCTGCGCTCTCTGTGCTAGAGCCAGGCCTGTGTTTCCACGGCAGCCAGCTCTGGCCACCAGGTGCAAAACTACGATGCAGGAAGCTCTGACCATTAGGTGCAGAACTACGTTTCTGGGCCATCACGAGATTCTCAATAGAATAAATATTAACCCGACCACACCAACAACATGCTGTGTTTAGATCACTTTCTGACCCCAGCCTCCAACAGCTAAAAGAGGAGGGGGGATAGGTAGGGCATGGGTGGGGGGGGGTGCTGAGCCAACAGACCCTCATGGGGACATGGGACACAGGCCCTGGTGCTGCTGCTGTTGTGGAAACGAGGCATTGCCTGCACGAGAACACACCCTTCCGGCAGCGCGCGTGAACATAGCAGCAGGGAATGCACGAGCCAGGATTGGTGCTTCAGGGTAGTGGGGTGGTGCGCCCTGCTCCTCCAAATGTCTCTTTGGCATCACCAAAGTTCACGCTTATGCGCGGTGGGTCACTGTGAAGGTGGTCCAACACAGCGGCTCTACTGGCCTCCCATCTGTGAGGAGCCGGGCCTGACGCAGACCTCCTTGTGAGCTTCCAATACCAATCCATAATATAGATTTTTTTTAGTTAGATCGCTTAATATAAATGTGCCGCCACAAAGTGGACCCTCGCCGTCTTGATGCCCGGGGACTTTTTTTTTAACGTGTCATTTTAGGTAGGCGGGAAAAAAACTTACTTTGAGCAACCATAACCTCATTTGTAACCAGAACAACAAAGAGGGTATATATCTGCACATGCACGCGACGATCATTTAACACTCCGTGGCAAGTCGCACGTCGGCACTGCCAAATTAAAAACTGCCGCTTTCGCAAACGAATCAAAAGTGAACACTGGCCAACAAGGGCCGTCCGTCGCTGCTGGCCACCATGACTGAGTTGTTTTGTGAGGGGGGCAACTGGGGGGGCGACTGGGGGGGCATGAATTCCACGCAGCGCCACCGGTGAGCTCTGGGAGGCGCTCTCCAAGCCAATGTCGCCTCGCTCGCTGCGGAGTCCGGCGCTAACCCATCTCCCATTTTGTTTGGATTTTAAACTCGATCAAAAATTCCCAAGCACTTTGTACATGAAAGCGCTGCAGAAACAAATGATAACAGCATTAGTCCCGAGCCGGTGATGGGCATTCCACATTCCCGTGGCAGGTGCCAGCCTCTTTATTACGACCACTGTTGATTTCTTTCTCGTTATATCGACGCGGAGGAACGACGCGTCGAATAAATCCACAACCGCGAGTTGAATTGGCAAACCTCGTGACTGGAGTGCTCTGACCGCAGCGCCGCCTCTGGCTCATCACGAGTTTCCCTGGCGGGAATCGTTTCACATCAGCGCACAAATTAAACTACCTCTCGGTGGAATTGCAATCGTGAAACAGCCAGTGCGCGAGCTCGGCTTCACACGTTTACCAATCGCCCATCGGCATACGATGAACAAAAATTTATTTTACGCAAAATGAGAAACACTGGAAAATGGTGAAGCCCTGACCATGGGCTTGGCGGAGCGGGAGAAAAGGGGAAAGCGCGGAGACTTGAAGATGTCTCGACGTGACCTGTCAACCCCCAGAGTGCCTCGCGACAACCCGTACCAAATGTCAAGGTGGTCGCCACGGTGCCACACGTTGCACCGGCCTCCAAACCAGTCACGGTGGAAATCACAACGAAACAAAAACCAAATCAAGAATTGCGTAAACCTTGAAAGAGCATGCATTGCAAAACAACGAGTATTCACCCAAGTGCTGAGCAGTGCGTACGTGGACACAACACAGAACACGGATGCAGCGATTCACCCCCTCCCACGATTCTACAAATTGTCACGAATCGGGGGGGGGGGGGGGGGAGGGTAAAGATTTAATTCCCAAGACGGATTATTTTTGCCCTCGTGCACACCGAATCGACAGTGGATATAAACACATGTAATGCATTCCTAACGCGCACGATTCGATGCATGTACCATGAGCATAAGAATCGATTGTGGCGGGTGAAATGTTACGTGCCCAGTATATCTATAAAAAAAAACAGTGCCCACTCTCAGGCAATTCCTTTTTACGTCTCCACTCGAACACGTTTGACTTGAGACGGTCATCCAGTGAGCCCCGTGGAGCCAACAATCGCGAGTTTGACGTTTGTGTCCCAGGCAAAGTGGAGCGGGCGGTCGATGGGAAACCAGTCAGCTGAGCAAAGGAAACCCCTGCAATCGCCCAACGCCCCACATTCGCGCAGACGCAAGCCGCAAATCACGGAGCCTGTGTTTAGTGCACCGTTCCTATCACAAGCTGCCAGATGTCCAGCAGATGGTATTAGTGTACAGCATGTTGGTTCCAGATATGTCTGTGCAGAGTTTTTTGCTTGTATGTGTGGTGGGATTTCTCCAGGTACTCGGATTTCCCCCCAACATGCGAGCCCACGAATTCTGATACAGAACCCTCCCAGGAAGTGTCTTGAGGCTCGACGAGGCTTTCCCCCAGATAAATAAACGACATAAACATCGCGAAAAATGAGAACTCTCTCGAGTGTTCCTCTGCATTTGACAAGAAGCATCCCTAAGGTCGACTCAGCCAGAAAAAAAAGTACCGATATAACTGCAGTTGTGCAAGAGCCGGTCAGAGACTTTCCTCCTCGCATCCGGACTGAGAAGCCGGTTCCCGCGGAGCGGGCTATCGGCCTCGCTCGCTCAAAACCACGCCACCACCAGGGCCTCGTCGCAACGACATCTTAAATACTCGACCCATCTGTATTGCCAATGTACACTTTGCGTGTTTTTTCTCCAGGGCACGACGTCCTTGCTAGCGCGGCGGCAACTTCCGTCGCCCCCCGTGGCGGACGGCGAGCGGCAGGCTGCGTCGCTGCACCGCCAAGTCCCTTCTGGGGGTCCTTTGCAGCCTGTGTGAAGTTATATCGGCGCAACTTCGAAACGATGTTCAGCGATATTGGACGGCTCACCAAATGTTAAGCCACGTGCACCCATAAAATAACAACAAAGACCCACTGCAGAGACCGATTGCCTGTCCTGCTGCCCGCAGGCAACTCCTATGTCTCCTTAACCCAAAACGAACCGTGCCGGAGCCTCTGCAGCCCTGACAGCCTCTCCGCTCTGCGCGCTGCAAAGAAGCGAGAACACGCCACGGTTTTTCCTCGCTTGTATCCTGCAGCCCGGAGAGAACCAACCACTTCTAACAGCCACCTCCACGAGTTTTGTCATTTTCTGATACTTCGCATTTGCAAACGAAACAAAAAAACGTGCACACACACACAAAAGCTGGCAGCGGTCCTTCAGTCAACAATTCTTAGGCCGGTGAGCCTCTCTCCAACAGCATCCGGTGCTCACGACAAAATTTACCTTTTTTTTCTCTCGTAATTCTCGCAACGAACGGAAAATTCACGGCCGCCGGCGCCCACAGCCGGCCAGCCCAAAGCACCGCGGTGAAACGAAAAACACAACGACGCGCCTCCTCGCCGCTCGCCGGCTCGGCGCTCATTCCCCCACCCCCCTGCCACGGCGTGAACCTTTCCCGTGTGTTCGAGCGTTGCAACAAGCGCCGGCGCCCCGAGGGAAACATCTGGGCGCGGAGGGACCGAGAGCGCGGGCGTGGTGGCACGCTCACGCCACGTACATGAACGTGTTGATGCTGTCCTCGTCGCGGCGAATGTACTTGTGGTCGATGAGCCACTCGATCTGCTCCTTGATCATCTTCTTCTGCGGGAAGAACATGTTCTTGAGGATCTCCACCAGCTCCGTCTGCAGCTGCGCGTTCGAAATCTTCTTGCGCATCTTCATGATCTGTATGATGGCCTCCTGCGCGACGAGGGGGCGACACGCAAACACGCGCGCACACAGGTGTGTAGGTCAACGTGTGTGTGTTTGGGGGAAGCGGTGGCCTAGCGGTTAGCACTGTGCTACGAACTTGGCCACCCGAGTTCGGTTCCCGCTCACGGCCAACAACCCCAGTGACGATTGTATGAACTGCTCCAGGGCCTCCCCTCGTGTAAACATCGCCACTGGGGAGACAAAGGCGGTCGAGTGTGGTGCTGGTCACCCACCCCCTCGTGTACTGTGCCGGCCTTCATCGGTGCTCGCTAAACAGCACTTGCTTCAAAAGTCTGTTAAGACTATACGGGGGATCTTTGTCTTTGTGTACGTGGAGTGGTGGTGCAGTGGTTTGCACACTGCGCTACAAACCCCTTTTGACCTGCGTTTGAATCCCACTCAAAGCCGACATCAGTGACGAATATATCAATCGGTTCTGGGCCTCCCCTAGGTCGACACAGCCTTATATTGGTACCTGGTGGGGGTGTGTAAAACTGGAGAGACAAAGGCGGCCGGGCGTGGTGCCGCCCACCCACCCCGCTGTGCGCCGTGCCGGCCTTCATCGGTGCTCACTAACAGCACCTTGCCCCAACAGCTCGTGGAGGCTACACGGGGGACCTTTGTCTTTGTGTGCGCACACCTGCGTGCGCAGGATCCTCAGCTGCACGATGCCCTCGTTCTCCTCGTCGCGGCTGCGCTCCGTCGTCAGCTGCAGTCGCCCAATCAGGTTGATTTTTCCGCGCTTCTGCACCTTCCCGTTCTTGCTGCAGCGGGATCGACGAGCGACACACACACATGCCGTTACACACACACACCGTTACGCACACACACATCCTTACACACACACACACCGTTACACACACCGTTACGCACACACACATCCTTACACACACACACGCCGTTACACACACACACACCGTTACACACACACACGCCGTCACACACACCGTTACGCACGGGCAACGTTACACACACACACACGCCGTTATGCACACACCGTTACACACACGTCGTTATGCACACACACACCGTTACGCGCACACACACACACCGTTACACACACACACACTGTTACGCACACACACACGTCGTTATGCACACACACCCCATTACGCACACACACACACACACACCGTTACGCACAGGTCTGGCTAGCTCCAAAACCTCGTTAACATGAGTATATTAGTGCGTGTGTGATATTGTACAGACCAAAAAAAAAACTACTAACAGCATGCTATCTTATTTTATATTTATAGAGTGCCTTAGCTCAGGGCGCTAGCTCAAGGCACTCTATAACAGTTAAAAAATCGAGCGATTTAGATGGCAAGGACACACAAGGACCGAGGAATGAGTGACCGTAACAGAGGGCAAGTGGGGTCACGTGAGAGCAGGGAAGGGACGAGCACGTGGTCCCCCCATCCCCCCCCCCTCATCCCCTACCACCCATCCCCCACCACCCCTCCCCCGTACCCCACCACTAACGTATTGCTTTAAGTACGTAGTCTACTTAAACTATACATTTTACAATCGTACACATCACACAATGTACAAGTATATAGCATGTACTTTAAATCTGCATCTCATTCACATTTTAGATTATGTTATTTAGCCGACCTGGTGTGGGCACAATGTGAAATCCAGCTATCCAGGGTTTCTACTGCATTTACAATGTTTTATTATTTGTATTATTTACATGTTTACGCAAAGCGCTCTGAGGTTATGCTATCTTGAAGAGTGCCGTACAAGGCAGAGACTGCAGAATGCCATTGTAATGTGGAGACTTAGAATTATTGTGCATCATGTATCATGTGTCGTGTATCGCACTGGATGTATTCCACAGGGTGCATCGTGCTGAGTGTGTTCTGCAGGGTGCATTAGCTGGGTGTGTTCTGCAGGGTGAATTCTGCAGGTTGTATCGCGCTGGGTGCATCGCACTGGGTGAATTGCACTGGATGTATTCCGCAGGGTGCATCGCGCTGGGTGTGCCTCACTCGTACGCACATGAGCGCAAACTCTTGGTTGACCCAGAAGATGGTTCCCTCCGTGAAGTCCTTGGGCGACACGGCCGTGGGCTCGTACAGCAGCGGCTGCCGCTTCAGCTTGGGGAACGCCACCAGAGACTGGGGGGTGGGGGGGGAGCACAGCCAGGCACAGATGTCCCGGAGTGTACGGAGAATCTGGGCAACTGCTCCGAGCCCCAAACTTTGGGGAGGGGAGCCCTGCGCTTCGACGTCTAAAGTTGCTAAATTGTTTAAAGTTGCTAAATTCGAAAAATGACCTGCAAATCACTCAATTGGAATCACACTCAGCAACATCGCCGCCTTACTGCGAAACGACTGCAGACTGCGTCTGTGAAACCCAGCAGCGCCTTTGTGATGATAACCCTGCACTATAAGAATGAAGCAAGTATGAAATTAGTATTATATAAGTAACTAAATAATATAATCAGACCACACGCCTCCTCCCATATCTGTCGCACCGTGTTTTTTGCACATCCCATCAGCCACACGGCTTTCTAATATCTGCACTGATTTCAACATTCTGGCTCTGCTCATGAGACAGTGAGTGATCCATATTTGTTTTGGAGACATTGAATGTCGATTCGTTTTACTTGGAGAAACAGACGTGGGAAGGTGGTGTATCATCTCCTTACTTATTATAAATAATGGCTGATTGATAAATATGGAATGAGTGGTTGCGTACGAATTAAGTCGGTAGACAAGCGGGTGGACAAGTGGGTGGACGAGTGGGCGAACGAGTGAACGCGGGCGAGCGAGCGGGCGAGTGGATGAGCGAGTGGACGATTTAGCGGATGAGCGAGTGGACGATTTAGCGGATGAGCGAGTGGACGACCCGGCAGGTGAGGGCGCCTACCCAGAGCGTGCGCCGGAGTTCGGCGTCGGGCAGCTCGGTGGCAAGGCGCAGGTTCTCAAAGCTGATGCGGTCGCGCTGCCGCTGGTTCCACGCGAAGAGGATGGCGAGCTGGAACGTTGTCACCTCCAGGTCGTATTGCCCAACCTCGTTCTTGAACGTGATCTGAGTCGACAAGCAAGTGGAACTCAATGGGGCAAACATGGTGAAGCGGCTAACATCAGTGGCGAGGGATGTCCAAACCTTTGCTGGGATCCTCGCTTCACCAGCCCCGTACGGACCGGCGTGGTGAAAAGGGGTCCAATAACCCCCATGACCGACCCGCCGCGTGGAAGAGGCCTTCATCCAGCAGTGGATTGACAATCGGCTGTATAATAATATAAATGAATGGCTGAATGAATAAACAGCCACAGTGGAGCGTACACGCAATGTAAAGGTTGCTGTACGCTCGCTGCTCTGTGCCTCTGCTGTGTGTAATTAATCGGCCTCCCCCACTGGCTTTAGGTGGTGAGCTTCACCCTTCTAAAGAGTCTACATTGAGCCACAGCATCGATTTCCACTGCACTGGGCGCCCTGATGTTAACGGATCGTTCAGTGGCTGCGGAGTGGGGGCCAGTGCCGGGCAGGGCAGGGGAGCTCAACCGGCACGGGAATGTGGAATTGCAGAGAGGCTGGCCTCAGCCTTGCAGAGGCAAGAGGATGGAGCACCGCCCCATGGTCGTTTGAGGAAGAAGCCGTTCTGTGGTTGTCATGTGGTGGGGCCTGTGGAGGGCGGGCCACCCCTGTATGAACGTGTGTTTGTGTGTGTGCGTGTGGTGACGTCACCACCACTTAGTGGAGAATGGCGGTTATTGTTGTGGGGAGCGGTAGTCCAGCGGTTAGCGCACTGCGCTATGAAACCGGGGACCCAGGTTCGATTCCTGCTCACGGTCAACACCAGTGACGATTATCTGAACCGGTCCTGGGCCTCCCCTAGTTCGACTCAACCTCAAATGAGTACCTGGTGAGGTGTGTAAACATTGCCACTAGGGAGAAAAAGGCGGTCGGGCGTGGTGCTGCCCACCCACCCCCTCGTGTGCCGTGCCAGCCTTCATAGGTGCTCGCTAACAGCACTTGCCCCAACAGTCTGTTCAGGTTATACGGGGGTTCTTTGTCTTGTACGCACGTGCGAGCGGGACTCACAATGCCGTTGGACATGAGGTGGTGCCAGTGCAGCTTGCGGCCGCTGTGGCTCTTCTTGTAGAACTCCTCCACCTCAGGGATCAGATCCTCCAGCTCCGTGGGCAGCGACACGAACATCTTCTCCGAGCTGCGCGACCACGCGCCCGCGTTCAGGATCTTGATGTTCACCGAGTCTGTGGAGGAGAGCAACACGCTTCATTCACCTGCTCGCTCGCTCGTTTGCTCGTTCGATCATTCGCATGTCCTTTTTACTCATTCGCGCATATATTTACTCATTCCCTCAATTGGGGTCATCGACGCTTTGGGGAATGGATTTAATCGGTGCGCCGTTACTCTGCCACCTCGTTTGCTCGCTCGCTCGATCATCCGCCCACTTGCTCTTGGCTCAGATGCCACAGCTCGTACGACAAAACCACGGCTTCCCCGCCACCCTTCCCCTATCACCCCCCTCCCCTATCACCTACATATTTCATACGTTGCACACAATAAAACATGGACTACGCATTACACATAACGTACTCTCACGTTTACAGCAAGCTCACTATTATAAACGTACTACTGCGTTCACTGATCGCCACGTGGTGTACAGATCCCCACTGGGTCTCTCTGCCTTCGTCTTCCCAGCGCCCCCCTCCCTCCCCTCCCCAGGCAGAGCGGCGTACCGGCCATGGCCAGCTTGTTGTTCTTGTGCATCTCCTTGAAAGCCTGGTTGAGGTCCTCCGACACCTTGATATCCTGGAACATGCGCGCCAGCTTGTTCACGTAGTCGGCGGGCATCCCCACCTCCTGCGAGCGGCGGAGACGCGGGGGAGGGTCGGTTACTGGGCCCGCTTGGGGGGACAGCACCTGCAGTCGGGCGGCCCCTCCTCCTCCTTTGCCGAGGGCCACACGTGACCTCCAAAGCACCCTTCGGCTCAAGTCGCTTCTGCCAACGCAGGGGCCTCTTGCCGGTGACACAAGTCAGAATTACTTCAGAATCGGAATGTTTATTTATACTGGAGGAATTCGATGAGCTATGAAGATGTCTAGTAGGGGGAGGTCAGAACGTTACAACAATAAACAATACAATAGCACGATAGGCTTGCAAAGTAGAGGAAAGGTAAAGATATCACAATCGAAATAATATAGACGCACGTTTCTAAATGTGGAGGAAAAAACCGGACACGGAGAAAAAATCCACGTGACCACGGGGAGAACACGCAAACTACAGATAAACAGCAGGTCAGGATCGAACCACCGACTCTCTGCATACCAGGCGAGGAAGATGACATCTCGTCACCATGGCACCCCTTAAATAAGTAAACGGGAGTTGAAAGTATTCCCTTCTGGCACCGGATTGGTGCGTGGCCAAGGTGCTTGCTGTGACGGATATAAATATCGCTTGGGGGCCGCTTTGAAGCGAGACACGAAGTCGTGTGAAGTCGTGGGCCGTGGGTGTCTGACCCCAGCCCCATGGCACACAGGCCTCGGGTAGTGACCCAGCGCTCGGGGAAGCAAGGATTAGTGGGTCATGGAGACTGCGAAATTCTCAAACCTGCTGGGATGCGGGGCGGACTGTAGATGGCAGTACAGCAAGTTAGTTCGTGATCCCGGATATGCAGAGCTTTTGTACGTTATCCCCTCATATGCTTGTGTTCGCTCCGGGCACTCCGGTGTCTCTTATAGAAAGCAAAACACTCCTGAGATATAAACTGAACAAACCTCTCAATGCACCAGCTGTACACGTGGCCACTCAACTGTAACTCGTATATACAGCTCTCTCACCGCTCTCTTCCTTATCTATCTCTTAACGACATCACCATGGGGAGGAGAGCAGGTGGGCGGGGGGGTGTGAGCGGGCGGGTGAGTGAGCGGGTGGACAAGTGCTCACCCTCAGCCACTCCACCATGTTCTCCTCGGTCTCGCTGTCAGCCGAGATGTCGAGGATGAGCCGTCGCGTCAGATGTGCCTTATGGTAGCGCATGAACACGTCCTTGTTCTGCACGTACTTCAGCACCAGCAGCTGTGGGCAGAGGCAAGAGGGGGCAGCCCATTACCCAAACGCCAGCCCCGCCACGACACCCCCCATCCCTGCATCTCCACGCTCGCACCCCACTCATCCTTGTGTCCGCGTAGCATGCGGCTGCCTACGGGTTTAACTACAGCTGAAATAACAAGACCATGCAATCTGCAAAAACCACACGCTTCCGTTTTGTAGACATGGGCGTAGGTGGTGCCTGTGGCTAAATCGGCCCAAATACGTCTTGAGCATCAGATCTTATGGGTGAAACGGTTTTGAGCCTGAACATGGAGAAGAGAGTGAGTCAGGGGAAGAGGGGTGAGTCAGAGAGAGAAAGAGGGCGGAGAGTGAATCAGCGCGAGAGGAGAGTGTAGAGGGCATTTGAATGTGAGAGGGTTTACGTTTATATGGCTGCTATAGATTTCCACATCATAGGCCACTTCATTTAGCTATCACATTTGTGGCCAGGTGGCTTTTGAACAAGAGCCACATAACTCAGTGGGCCTTAGCTGGTAAAATAAAAAATTGTTTAATAGTTTTACGTGAGAGACAGGCCGCCCGGCCCCCTCCTGCCTGGCCCCCAGGCCCCCAGCCGGCCCCCACTTAGCCCCCCGCCCGGCCCCCAACCAGCCCTCACCCGGCCCCCACTCGGCCCCCACCCGGCCCTCACGTGACCCTAGCCCGACCCCTGCCCGGTCCCCACCGCCACCACGCTCCTCACCACTTCTCTGAGCTTGGCGTCGATCTCCTCGGACGTGAGCTTCTTGCTGAGCGGAGTCTTGCGCAGCAGCATGTCGCAGTAGTTCGCCAGCAGCTCGGGGCACTTGCTCTCGGGCTGCGTCTTGGAGCTGAGCCTGGGGCACCGGCCACGCGTGCGGCGTTACACGAGCCACACGAGTCACGCGAATACCCGAGTCCTCAAGTCCGCAAGTACCTGGGGGACTGCGCTCAAGAAAAGCGGGGAGCCGCGCTCTCGGCACCGGTGCCGACACAGCCATTGTGAACCCCCAAAAGCCATCACCAATCCACAACTGAACTGCAATAAGCGAGGTCAAATAACCCCCACGACCCACACGGCGTGAAGAGGTACTTGTTAACCTTATTTATTATATCTGGGAAAGCTTCGCCGAGTATCAAGACTCTCTTCAGATGGGTCCTGCGTTAGAACGTTCAGCCAATTCATTATGAAGGAGTGTTTTTCTTTCAGGCCATCATCCAGCAGTCAATTGACACAATGGAGAGAGACGTGCAGAGCCACGCCTGGGACTGCAGGATCCTAGTGGTGCTGGCTCAGCAGCCCGACCATGATCATGATGAACCCACCAATGAGACACACACCTAGACCTGAACAAGATATCTCAAGAGATGCCATCCCATCGGCTTCGACACAGCCTTTATGGATCTGCTGAGAGATACACTCAGTGCATTCAAACGCAGGACCTCAAAGGTTCTGGCTCAATGGTTGGACGTGGCCACTGAGAATCACCTAAACCACCCCCAAACCTCATCCAGACAGCAATAGACGAGTCTATAGTAAACTAAACTATTTTTATTAATTTATAGCAGACAAATACTCTCAACGCATGTTTTTAATGTGGAAAGAAAAACCGGAAGACCCGGAGAAAAATCCACGCGACCACCACGTGGAGATATATAGCAGGCGTCAGGGTCGGGATCAAACCCACCACCTCCTGTATATATCATAGTTCAAATATAGGCTCAGTTTCCTTCTGGAAAAGTTTTAGGTGCTTAGAAAAAAGTGGTGAACCATGAGTATAACTCTCTGATAACCGAATGCCGGATAGCAAAGCTTTTGCTGTAGTTGCCTTCCACAAGTCCCAGAGGACACACTGAGACTGCCTGCGGCTCCCTCACCCTTTCTGTTTGCTGGGCAGCTCCAGCTTGAAGATGGTGGCGTCGTTCACCACCGCCTTGTAGGCCTACAGGGGCAGAGCGAGAGGGAGGAAGAGAGAGAGGGCGAGGAAGTGCTCTCGGGGGACTGCAGCTAACGGGAGACGCGAGGCTCTCTGAGAATAAATAAACCAATGACTGACAGCCACCGTAGAGAGACGTCGATGTAGACATGTCCAGCCCTACTGTCGATCCACTGCTGCACGAGGTCTTCACCACGTCGGTCGGTGCGGGTTTAAGGCACAGAGGATGGACATGGAAGCGCAGCACAAGTATGCAGCACAATAATGCATTTTGCTGTACTGCCCATCTGGTGGCCACCACATAGCCATATAGCACGTGTTATGCATGGTGGTCACCCCACCAGGCACTATCTAGGCACAACCCCTGCTTAGCTTCCGAGATGTAACGAGATCGGGTGCATCCGAGGTCGTTTGGTCATAGACGACGTATCGATCAACTCACAGTCCAAACTTGGCAGGACCCTCCTGCAACAAAAGAGTCGTGAGACTCAGTGAGGTTTACCTGGATACACAAGCATCACCATGCAATCATTTGACAACAAAGTCAGAGTCCGTTGATACGAGGAGTGTCTATAATTATAGCGAGATTTGAATGAATGACTTGAGAGTGAATGAATGACTGACCTTGTCCCGGGCTGTAAGGAAGCGCGGGTCGTCCCGGAACGCGTCCTTCACCAGGCGGCTGAAACGGTGGAAGAGCATCAACAGCTGCTCCACGTACTTCTCAGAGTCCTGCAAAAAGCAAAGACAAAGATTACCCCGTGTAGCCTTAACAGACTGTTGGGACAAGCGCTGTTAGCGAGGCACCTATGAATGCCGGCAAGGCCACGAGGGGGTGGGTGGCCAGCACCACGCCAGAACGCCTTTGTCTCTCCAGTGGTAATATTTACACACCGCAGCAGGTACTCTTTTGAGACTGAATTGACCTCATAGAGACCCAGGACTGGGTTCAGATAATCGTCACCTATGTTGGCTGTGAGCGGGAATTGAACTCCGCCCGCCGGGTTTGTAGCAAGGTTTTTACAAGATCTTGGTGAAAAATAGAAGATGGAGGGAATTCCAAAGGTCAGCAGTGTGAGGGTCGAAGCAGAAAAATAAGTGTTGTGACCTGCAGTGTGGCGAGTGGGTGAGTGTGCGGGTGAGTGAGTGGGTTAGTGGGTAGTCGTGACCTGCCATGTGTTTCTCAAAGGCAGTGTGGATGATACGAAACAGTCAGTCTCTGTCAGACCGAATCCTCAACAAGGGTGATGGAATGAATGAGTGCAGTTCACGGGAATGGTAACCATGGTAGCAGCAGCGATAGAAGGGTGAATTTGGAGGGCAACCACACATTTTAGACTCACTTCAGTCGCAGGCATCACCGCAAGAGAGGCCCTCTTGAGCACGGCGCTAAAATTAGTAACGCAAAGTTTCCAGCTGGAAAGCATGCGGCTCTATCACGCGATATCGAGAGCCGTGGGTGAAGTGGTCGGGGCCTCATGTGGCCACAGGACGTAGGTCTCTCTCTGACGCACAAGCATCCGTTTTTATGCCGCTGAAAAAACGCTCCATGCGTTGCATGTATGCTGAACCTCTTTAGCACCGTACGTAGCCAACCGTGCTAATTGGACGCGCGGGGGAAGGACAACTTAACACAACAAGCAGTTTTATGGAAAAAAAAAATTTCATCTAGATTTAAGAGTGCACAGCTCCAGTGGCGTACCGACGTGCGCGTGCTCGCAAATATCCACTACGGGGGAGGAAGGCGTCTGGGCCCAAAGCGATAGCGGTGTCTCGAAGCCTAAGAGACTTCCTGCTCAAGTGAACAGAGGTGGCGGCCCACCTCCCATCTACAGCCCTGAGCCAGCGGTTGAAATTCCACATTCCTCTGACTTCCCTAAAAGTGGTACTTATTTTACCGACCGCGGACCGCTGATGGGCTGCGTCAACCCCAAACCTGGAATTGAACTCGGAACCTTCCGATTGTGAGCCGCTCGTTCTCCTGCTCGCTCAGCATCCGCCAGGTGGGTTATCTACGCTGGAGACGAGCGAGCTGTGGCTGAAAGGCATCGCGCATCGCTGGTGTCGCAGACACAACTACCTCACGAGCGAGCGCGGGAGGAGCCTGGGGGACAAGGCCCGAGCTACGAGCAGATGGCGAGGAAGGGGCCCGGTGCTCACCGTGGTGATGGACTCGGCCGTGGCCACCATGTCTGCCAGGCCGGCACTCACAATGTGCTCCTCCAGATCCTTGAGCATGGGTTCGATCCCTGCGGGAACTCGGTCCATCAGCTGGAACATGAGTTGAAGCTCTGTGGGGAGTGGGGGAGCGGAGAGGGGGATGGGGGAGGGAGGGATGGATGTGTGAGTGTGAGTCGGGGGAGCGATTGTGTAGTGAAATAAGAACAATAGCGCAGGAGGTGTTTAGATGTTTAAATACCAAATAGACATCTATTGCAAGGCATCAAGTCTGCAATAACAACACATTCATGTGGCAAAACATGCAAACAAATATGCTCTGATAATATATGCATTGCCTTTGAAAGTGATTGGACTACACCAGACAGCATTCTTTATGGTCCCATAGAGATTGTGTAGTGGTTGATGCGCTGCTGATCAGCGCAGGCTGGTGGTCAGTGGGGAGCGGTAGTGTAGCGGTTAGCGTCGCTGCGCCATGAACCCAGTGACCCGAATTAAAGTCCCGCTCATGTCCAACACCAGTGACGAATATCTGAACCGGTCCTGGGCCTGCCTCACATCAACTCAGCCTCAAATGAGTACCTGGTGTAATGTGATAAACATTGCCACGAGGGTGACAAAGGCAGCCGGGTGTGGTGCTGGCCACCCACCCCCACGTGTGCTGTGCCGGCCTTCATAGGTGCTCTCTACAGCACTTGCCCCAAAACAAAAACAACGATCCCCAATACAGCCGTTAAACGTAATGATCAGTGATTTGTGTATTAAATATTTTTCAGCCAATTAGTGAGTGTGTATACATGTGAGAGGAAGCAGGAGCACCCGGAGAAGACCTACACATGCGAGGGGAGAACAGACTAGTGGGGCTATACGTGCAGTATTAACCCTTTCCCATTCCGATGATGTACATGTACGTCATCAATTTCTATCCCGATTCGGAAGAAAAAATAAAATAACTTTACCGGTACATCTTCAGATCGGAAGATGTATCGAGGCTCCCATAAGGCCATGCAGGATGATGACGTGTGGCAGTTTGGCGCCGGCTATCGTAGAGTGCGTTAGTGTGGCTACGGTTCTCTGCGGTGAGCACAATTTAATAAAAACGGCGCTACACCTCTCTAAATAAAATTAACGCTGAACCGCTTGCGCATTCCGAGATTCAGCGGTGAATGGGACACCCACCACCCTGCAACCTGCAGACGTCTCGGAATGGGTTAAGGGTTAATAAGCGCACCACATCCGGCCACATTTGTGTCCCCAAATGCTGATGTTTACACGGAAAACTAGGAACTCGTTTAAGTCTGAGTCGATGCAGGGGAGGCCCAGAACCAGTTCAGATATTCGTCGCCGGGTTGGTAGCGCAGTGCGTCCGTATGTGTGTGTATGTACGTGTGTCTGGCACTCACTCTCTGTCTCGTTGGCTTTGATCATGCCCGAGCACTCAGCCAGGATGGTCTCCTTGAAGGACGTGACGAGCGCGTTGACACAGCAATCCACCAGCTGACAACAAATACAAAGATCCCCCGTGAAGCTTTAACATACTGTTAGGGAAAGTGCTGTTAGCGAGTAGCACCTATAAAGGCCGGCATGGCACACGAGGAAGTGGGTGAGCAGCACCACGCCCCGCGGCTGCCTTTGTCTCCCTAGTGGTGACATTTACGACACACCGCACTAGGTACTAAATTGAGACTGAGTCAACCTAGGCCCAGGACTGGGTTCAGATAATTGTCACTGGTTTTGGCCGTGAGCGGGAATGGAAACCGGGTTCGTAGCGCAGCTGCCACACACACGCAATAACAGTTGCATTGCATGTGTTTTTTCAGCTATGGAAAAAGAAAAAAAACAGAGAACTCGGAGGAAACCCATGCTGAACATGGGGAAAACATACAAACTCCACACATAAAGGTTTTTAAACCCTCGGCACTTCTGGCTGAGGCACAAGTGCGGCCTCTGCACCGCCACCCTCTGCACCACCAACTTCTGCATCGCCAACCTCTGCACCACCACCTCTGCACCGCCACCCTCGCTGCCATGAACTGGCACTCGCAGGACTCACCGCCTGCACGGAGTTGCAATCTTTCCGCGTCTCCAGGTATCGCAGCGCTCTCTGCTCCTCTTCTTTCAGTTTGGCGTCAGCCTGCAGTCGCGCGCACGCATGCACACACACAAGGGGGCAGCACGCATTAGAAGACACGTCACAAGGAGTAGCAGACAGTATAGGGCACTTCATTGTGATGCACTTCTGCGGCCGTCTTGAACGCTCTTCCTTGCAATATTAGGAAGCCACTGGACATATGCACTTTTAAATCTTATACTGAAAACAATATTTGTAGAACTGCTTTTTGTTGTCCTTCCCTCACACCTCCGATTAGCACGGGTGGCTATGTATGGTGCGAAAGAAGTTCAGCATTCATACATACATACATTTGTGATCTCTGTTTATAAGCAGGCAAGAAAGCCCGTTGGCTAGTGCTTGGATGGGCGACCACCACGCACAAATAAGTTGTCATTGGGCTGTGGGGCTCGAGCTGACAGAAGTGACAAGTGCAGCGAAATGCACTCGTCCTGCACCCAAATTGCACCCCCCACGTACAACCCCCCGCCCCCCCATCCCCCCCGCGTGACCGGGGGAACCCCCACGACATTACAACGCACGTATTTCATGAAGTTCTGCACGCCGTTCTGCTGCAGGTACGCCGGCGCCTGGGTGCGGTAGAACGTGTCGGTGGCATCCAGGTACGCCTTCTCAAAGTTCTCCCGGTAAATCTGCAGCCGGTCCTCGGCGTTTGAACACAGGTTGACTGCATACACACACACGCAACATTTGCCACCAAGCAGCGGTGAGGTCACCGTGGTGCCTGTACTGGGCCACGTGGCCCACTTGTTCTCTGGCTCACTCGAGAACCAGGCCGCTCATCTGCTCGCTCTTACTCGCCCACATTCCCCCACTGTCCCATCCCCTGACCATGCGACTCCCCAACCATTCACTTGCTCTCCCCCTCACCAAATAATCTACTTCCCACTTTTTTGCCAAAACATCACAACCTCTTTTTTTCCAGCTCTCCCACTCACCCACTCTCCTGTAACCCACTTCCCATCTCTCCCACCCACGTTCCTGTAACCCACGCCCAATCTCTTTCTCTCCCACCCACTCTCCTGTAACCCACGCCGCAGCTCTCCCTCCTCGCACCGTAGGACTCGCGCACGCCGATGACGAGCTGCGAGTCGAAGGCCTCGCCCAGGCGCTCCGAGTGCACGAGTTTCATGGCGCTGTCCTGGAGCCGCCCCTTGATGTTGGAGAAGATGGATTCATTCCACGTGTCCAGCATCAGCTGTGCAGCGGAGCGTGGGGGGGGGGGAGACGGCGAAGAGATGCAACGTGCGTCGGTTACGACTAGACCCATGGCAAAACCGATCTTCACGCAGTATCAAGCGAAACTGTTGTCGAAAACTTAGGTTCTAATCCTGGGTTGGGTGAATACCTCCGATGGGTTTCACAAATGCCAGGTCTGACACGCACTGTGCTTGCAATGCTAAAACCTCAAGATTGGTTCTGGGTTTCAGCCGTTTGTGATTAAAAAAGTTTGGTCCGTCTTGCTTGTTTTGACCAACAGCTGAGAGTAAACAAATACCTATACAACTCTTTGTAAATTCACTGCTGGATGAGGGCCTCCCCAGCGCTGGTGAGCGCTGTTTGGTAAAGGTGGGGGGCAGATAGTTGCACATAGTACAGTATAATGGATTTTGCTGCACTGCCCTCTGCTGACAACTTATCCCCGAGCAACCTATAACACCCGTTTTGTGAACGGTGATCACCCATACAAGCACTATCCAGCAGGATAACCCCTTCTTACCTATCTATATCGAAATAAATCGGTTACACTCCACGTCCTTAGTTCACAGGCGAAAGTAAACCATTATCATATATCTTCTTGGTTCTTTCGGTAAAGTCACGTAGAAGGGAAGTATCATATAGTTACGACAAATCGAGAACGCCTACGTGATCCAATGACAAATCCAACACAATCAACACTCAAGAATCACGAACCACCACACACATCGGCGATTCAAGAGCCGATTTTAAATGAACGAAATACCACGCGGCCACAAAACAATTCGAGCAAACATGAGCGTCGACCAATCGCGATGCGGGGGCGAGGAAGGGGGGCGGGGCGAGGGGGGGGACAGAAGGGGAGGACCCCCGCAAGGAGGTAGCGGGGAGGGGGTTGGGTGGGGGGCACGCACCTTGCGCACGAGGCTGTCCTCGGTGCTCGCCTTGCGAGCCGTGCTCTGCTTGCCCAGCAGCGCCGCCTCCAGCTGGCAGAAGGGCTTGGGCAGGATGTCGCACTGCGTGAAGAACTTGCGCCACTCCCCAATGTAGGCCTTGAGCAGTGCTGAGTCATCCTGGTGGCTGAGCACGCGCTGTGGGTGCAGAGCAACGAGCATCACCCAGAATCAAAATCTTCGACTGGAGAAATCGGATGAGCTATGAAGCTCTTTTTCGCAGATGTCCAGTAGGCAGGGGTCAGAAAGTGACAACAACAATGCAAATAACTATAGAAGAGTGTAAAGTATAGGAAGGCTAAGCAAGTCAGTAAAAGTAATTTAAGTAAATAAGTTCAAACTGAATAAGAAACTGATTCAGTCATCGACATTCTCGCAAAGATAAAGATACAGCCCTGCAATTTCTTGCTAACGCCACTGCTGGCAATAAGGGCCTCCACTAGAGGCCGCTCTTAAGAGAGCTCCTGCAGCGGGTATTTGGTCTGCTCTTCCACGCTGGCCAGAACCGTCTTCGGAAAGATGGGGGAGGGGGGGGATACCCACACACACCAAGTCGCTCGACCGGCATCTCCGCGCGTGGGTCGAGCGACGGTCAGCGACGCTGCCGAGCGATCGAAACGCCACGGCGGTGTTACAGCGGACGGGGGACCCGGTTCTCCTTGCCGCAAACAACGGCAGCAAGCGTGGACCTCACACTAGGTGGTGCTCGTCCTGTCGCGGATTTTTTATTTTGGCGTTATTGATAATAATCGTGTGGGAAACAAAAGATTAAAAACAAATAAAAAGTGTGAATCTTGGTTTGCCACAGGTATCTAAATCTCTGACCGTCAAATTAAATGCAGCCCTGTGTGTGCGAGACGGTCCGCACGTCCCATGTCTGCCACTGGTGCCCAAAGGTGGCGCCGTTATGGTTCACGCTGGAGAGTGCCCTGTGCGTAAGGAACGTTTGCGCGAACCGATCGGTTCGGCCGTTGCTAAAATGTATCTGGATTTGAAGATCGATTTCATGACTCAAGGAATTGATAATTGAATTCTGTAAACCCCGGAGGGAATGCTGATGCTACTGCTGATATTGATGCTGAGGTATATGGTGATGTTGTTGATGCTGATGATGATGATGATTCTGCTACTGCTGCATATACTGATGGTGATGCTGATACGACTGTGATAAAGTTTCTTATGCTGATGACAATAATACCGCTACTGATGCTGCCGCCGATGATAAAGATGCTCACGCTGGAGACAGTAATGGCGATGATGTCAGATGTGGCATCCCTCGCATGGGAGATCTGGGAGCCGTGCTGCCGACACTAACACTTAGCGCTTACGGCCTGAGCTTGCCGGATGAAGTCCAGTATGTCCTCCTTGAGCGCTTGGTAGACCTTGGAGGGGCCCTTGTCGTCCCACAGACATACAGCGTGCACGTCCCTGTGAGGACACAGCACGGCCACACACACGTATACAGCCACACACACAAAGCATGAGTTCACACACATGTACATACATACACACAGCACAGCCACACATACATACATACAACCAAACATGTACACACAGAGTGTGAGTTCACACACATGTACATTACATACAAACAGAACAGCCACAGAGACAAAGATCTCCCGTATAGCCTGAACAGACTGTTGGGGCAAGGGTAGTTAGCGAGCACTTCTCAAGGCCGGAACGGCACGTGGGGGGTGGGTGATCAGCACCACGCCCGGCCGCCTTTGTTTGTTTCCCTAGTGGCGATGTTTACACACCTCACCGGGTACTCATTTGAGGCTAAGTCGATCTAGAGGAGGCCCAGGACCGGTTCAGATAATCGTCACTGGTGTTGTGAGTGGTAATCGAACTGGGGTCGCCAGGTTCGTAGCGCAGCGCGCTAACCGCTACACTACCGCTCCCCACACACACACATATACAACCAAACACAGGCACGCGCACACACACAATGAGGCTAACAATTATTATTTTGTGTGATACAAAACAACCAACGGCGATGCCTCAACCTCCCCCGCACAGGTGTCAACCGCTGCAAAGCAAATCTCAGCTAGTGGGGACCATCTCGTGGCGGCCCAGAACATGAGCTGCGTCTGCGGAGAAAGTCAGACAATGCCTTGCTCGTCTGCTCCAGTCTCGGCTGGTAGAGGAGGCGTGCACAGCTGATGAGTTAAGCACCAATCCTGACCGTGTGCGGTGGGCCTCTGCCCCCCGCTCCCCCTAACCGACACATCGTAGTCATTGATCTAAGTTGATATGATGGATGCGAAATGAGCGAGAATGCATGTTGAACTTCTTTCGCCACCGTACGTAGCCAATCGTGCTAATCGGAGGTGCGGGGGAAGGACAACCATACTAACTGAAGGGAACCCAACCTCCGGCCCTTCACCAAGGCCCCTTTCACTTATTGGTTCCCTGGCTCAGTGTTCGTGCTCACAGCGACGCCACTCACATGAAGAGGTCCTGCCACTGCTGCCGCGTCACAGCCTCCTGCCGCAGCAGCCGCAACACGATAGGACGCATCACGTCCCATTTGTCCTCGAACTGCAAGGAGCCCTTGTCCTGCCCCACACACAAAAACACACACACGATTCATATAACAGCCAATGCAACAACGGTTTTGAGTATTGGCTGCTATAAATGTCCACGTGATAAGTCACTTCGATGAGCTATCATTTGCGGCCAGGTTGCTTCTGAAAAAGAGCTACATAGCTCAGTGGGTTTCACCTGGTAAAATAAAAACAGTTTAGTTTACTTTTAGCTTGGATAAGTGCGCAAAGAAGCAAGCAGAGGCGGATACCGCATCTGCATTGCACTGAGGATGCATTAAAAAGTCATGCGTGGATTACAGAACATACACAAATGAGAGAGATATCATATTGAATGTTAAGAAAAGTGGGCTTGGAGAAAACGTGTCCTTGCAAGGTACGATGGCCGGAGATCAGGACTTAACGTCAGAGCAGCAACCAAGGGAGGGAACGTGCACGATAAGGATGTCCACTGCATGGATGCAGTGACAAAATCAGCTCAGGTGTAGGTGCTATACATCGTGGGTCGGCAACCAAATAAACAAAAATACACATTTTATCAAATTCGGTATAAAAAACATCAATAAATCGAAAGCTACAATGCATGAGAATAACGTTAAGAAGCAGTCCTTAAAGAGCAGCATGCAGCTCCGGAGCCGCAGGTTGCCGACCTCAATCAGGTCTGAATTGGTCTGTAATAAGGTAGGCACTGATAAGGGGTTGCCAGGTATGCAGGTCTGTGAGATTGCAGAAGCATGGGAATGCCTTCATCCAGTAGTAGATTGATCAGGGCTGAGGATGATTATAACTTGGCAGGCAGTCCGGGTGGCACTTTGGTTAAAGTGCTCTAATAATAACGTCTCAAGTTAAAATCCCAGTTTGGGGTTCACTCAACCTAACATCATATCTCTGAGATTTGATCAAATGAGAACAACTTCATTGGAAGTCTGCAGTAGTTGCCCTATGGATGCGACAGGCTCCCTTCATGGGAAAGCAGAATATGACAACGCTAGCTCGGGCCACCAATTTATAAGAGGGCATGTGCATTCCTTGCATAAAAGAATCAATAGATCAAATTAGTCACTTTTACATGTGTCAATGTGTCTATATGGAGCTGTGCTTTCCACTGGTGGCACCAAGTGGTGGTAATTCCACATTCTTGTCACGATCCAAGTGTATTTATAGGATGATCCACACTGAACTCAGTGGGATAATGATTAGTTGAGTCAACCCCACCTGAGGTGTGATCTCACAACATGAATTCGAGCATCGATCACAGTGCCACCGGGCTAGGGCTAATAAAGTCAGGAATGTACAGAACGCCTTGAGTGATAATTCTGTTGAGAATCTTACTCCACCACAAGAATGTGGAATTCCAATCAGTTGGCTCTGGGCTACCATTGGGCCCCGGTTTGTGGCGAGATGTTAACTCCCTCGCCTGGTATGCAGGTTGTGGGTTCGATCCCGACCCTGACGCCTGCTGTATATTTGGAGTTTGCATGTCTCTCTCTCTCTCAGCGGTCGCGTGGATTTTTCTCTGGGTCCTCCGGTTTTCCCCTCCACATTTAGAATCAACATCATGCGTTTAGAGTATTTGGCTGTTATACATTTCCCCATAAGCCACTTCGTTGAGCTATCATTTGTGGCCTGGTATCTTCTAAAAAAAGAGATATATAGCTCAGTGGGCCTTATCTGGCTAAATACAAATAGTTGTCATATGAGCATAAACAGACAAATTACACCCACCACCTACAACTCAGCACTTTGAAGACGAAGGTTTGTGTGTCAATGTGAGATTTATTTAAACTCTCAATCCCTCTCAAAACTGTTCAGCAGCCAGGGGATGACAGCACAGCAAGTGGCTTTGTGAACCCAAGAGTGGGAGAATATTTTAGCATTATTCGATCGAACGAGTGGTGCGTTTCCTCTGAGCATTCTGATTTCCTGATGCATGAAAATCGCTCATTAAAAATGAATTGGTCAAAAATTGCAATGTGTGTGTGCCAGTTGCATTAAAATAAAGACCATTACGCGATTCCCTCCTCTTGCGATTCCTGCTTCAAGTAAAAAAAGTAAATTCCCTTGAATCTCCGTGTCCACCAATTTCAGTCCAAATCCAAATTATATTGTATTCTTGTGCATGGCAACATGCGTTGTGGGATGCTATCAGTATGAATGATGCTATATAAAATGAAGGAAGTATTATAACATGTTCAGGAGCTAAATGCCAACGTCGAGGTCTGCTCGCCACGAGAGGGCTTCAGGAGAGTTTGTGTCGTTTTGCTGTTCCTCCATCAAAGGAGCGCAGACTACGGTGGTTTACTTTATGGTCCATAGTTTGGGTTGCATGGACAGTCGCAATACGATGGCTTTTGTCTTTAATATCCAAATTATGAAGATGTGCGCATTGGCTAGTTGATGTTATGATTGCGATTGATGGTCACACCGATGTCTTCGACGAATGTCAAAGTCAGCGATTTTGGGTCTCGATTGAGGTATTTATTATTATTATGGTCGTCTCGTGTTGCACCACTCGGTTTCCCCAGCGTTCTTCAAAATCTAAGCGAGATTCACTGTTGAGGTCGATAGCAAGAATACGCGTGACGACAAGTAACAGCTGGAGGTGGTGCACGCGCCCGTCTCTCGAACGCAGAGCGCACCCCCACACTTCGATCATCGCGTCCATCAGCAGGCGCGTGCAGCGTGTGCCCTCGCGATGTGTTTGCAAAGGGAGGCCGGAAAAACAGGGGGAAGGCGTCCGAGGGTAGTCGCAAGAGCTGCAGGTTGGACAACGCTCCCCCGAGCTTGTTTAATGTAAAGGACCGCAGGAATCGACTCCCATAAGAGAGCCTCGAGGCTCAGTGAGGCTGTCCTGCAAGTGTGATGCAGTAGGGCCACGGTGTCACTGATGAGTCCCGATGAGAGCAAGACTAGTAGTGTGAACACAAGTGTGATGCAGGAGGGCCACGGTGTGACTGATGAGTAGGGTCATGGTGTGACTGATGAGTCCTGATGAGAGCAAGACTAGTAGTGTGAACACAAGTAAGATGCAGGAGGGCCACGGTGTGACTGATGAGTAGGGCCACGGTGTCACTGATGAGTCCTGATGAGAGCAAGACGAGTGTGATGCAGTCGGGCCACTGTGTGACCTATTTCAGTTGTTAGTATTCGTATAATCGTTACGCAATACAACTCAAGTAACGTCACGACTAAATCACGACCACAACAACAAATGAAACCTCTCCGCCTCCTCTTCAAAGCAGCGGGCAACGCGCGCACGCGCTCGATCTCTAACACCAACGGCGAGCTCCGATACTCGCAATCACGCAAATTAGTTTTTTTTTTTACTTTCAAGCACCTCAGGATCATTTACAAAAACCAACACATTTCAACGTTCAGCCAATGGCGGCCTAGCGCCCGGGACGCGCGCGGGCTCGACTAGTTCGAACGAGCAAAGCCCGCCGATTCACCGCCGCGTCCCGCCCGCGTCGCTCGGAGAATCGTTCCCAGCGGAGCTCTCGGGGCAGCTCGAGCCCCACCACCCCGGCTGCGTTCGCCGGGGGGGGCCGCGATCCGTTCGCCGCGAGCTTCCCCCTCCCTCGCCGTCTACCGCCGCGGCGACGACTCGCTTACCTTCAGCATATTCGGAGCCGCCATGTCTGCCGGCCGAGTCTCGCGAGAGCGCGGTGGGGGTGGTGGGAGGGGGGGAAGTCTCGCGAGAACTTGGGATTCACGGGGGCCACGGAGCGACTGATGAGTTCCGATGGGGTTGAGACCGATGTTGTTGACACGCGTGTGGCGTAGCAGGGCCCACGGTGTAACTGATGAATCCCAATTAAATATAAACCAGTATTAACACATGCGTCATGCATCAGGGCCACAGAGTAACTGATGAGTTCTGATAGGAGCGAAACCAGTTCAGTTTCATTTATTTGGAATAACCCTGTGAGCCATTCGGCTCTTGATTCGTTTACAACCGCAACAAAGAATAAAATTACAAGAAACATTAAAAATTTACTATACGCAAATTGAAACATCCCCTACAAAAACAATAAAATCTTCCAGAAAAAGCACCATTTGTTTATGCTGCGTAGAAAAATGTGCAAAAAAATCCCATTTTGATGTTAGATCACAATAACAATCATAATACAATGTAGATTCTAATTTTACGTATAACTCTATACTACATCAAAAAATCGGGATAAACTAAACCTTTCTAGAAATTACTAAAATGATGCTATAAAAACAATGTAACAGTGATCATGAGAAATGTGATTGAAAGTTTACAATAGCCACATACATAACATATATTACTAAACCAGGCATCCTTCGCTAGCTGCATGAGTCAATCCATAATAGCAGGAGTAACAATAGTAGTAGCAGCACACTATAATCAAAATACATGATAATTTTTCGCATTGGTCATCTATAGCTATAGATTTGATTTCAGGCCACTGAATAGCAGTGGCAGCTAGTGGTGTACAACTCCTCTAGAACAGTTTTGAGTGAAGATCTCACAGGTAGTGATCCAAGCTGGAGTTTATTTGCGATAGCATTCCAGACCCTGGGGGCATCAATAGCAAAGGCCCTTCCTCCAGTATTTGTACGGCAATAAGGAATGCGAAGCTGGTAAATGAGCGGAGATCTTAGCTTATATTTGTTTTCCGAAACAATAAGGAGATCCAGCAGGTAATCTGCGGATTTTTTTGCAGTATGAACACAAGTGTGATGTAGCAGGGCCACAGTGCAACTGATGAGTTTCAATCAGAGACCAGTATTAACACACGTGTAATGTAGTAGGGCCACAGTGCAACTGATGAGTTCCGATGGGTGCGAAACCAGTATGAACACAAGTGTGATGTCGCAGGGCCACAGTATAACTGATGAATCCCAATGAGAGTGAGACCAATATTAACACCAGTGTAATGTATCAAAGCCACGGTGTAACTGATGATTATCAATGAGAGGGAAACCAGTATTAACACAAGTGTGATGTAGGAGAGCTACGGTGTAGCTGATGAATCCAAATGTTAGCGAAACCAGTACGAACACAAGTGTAATGTAGCAGCGCTGCAGGGCAACTGATGAGTCCCGATTAAGCGAAACGGAATGAACAATAGTGTGATGTAGCTGGTCCCATAGTGTCACTGATGAATCCCAATGAAACCACTAACGCCATGGTTGACTGAAAGTGGGCAAACAGCCTTGCTCAGGATTCCCAATAGAGATGTAACACTTCGTTATAAACTACTTACATAACAACAGTTTCACTTAAATGTTTAATTTACAATGTAAAATACATATCATTCAACAAAATAGAGCAAAACAGTATAGACTCTTCTGATAGCAGGGTATTAACCTTCGAGACAAATAAAAACAACCCCAATACTTTACCTGTGAATTAAAAATTTTGAATAAAAAAAATACGTAACTTTAACTTGGAAGGTACTCTATCTGGTATATAGATAAAGTTATATATTTTGGAATATCCATAACAGAGTTGTTTTGGGGTTAGGTCGCGTAAATATAAATGTGTTGTTAAACCCGCCACCATCCGACACAGACAATGAATTAGTGAGGTTTGACACGCAAACAGAACATGCCAATTCGTTACTAGCACAGCACACCGGTGTGTCGGAGAGCAAATCCACAACATTTACACCGTTTGGATTATACAAATGGCGAGATGAACATCGCTCAGCTATAATCGCCAGTCTCGTGGGAACAGGTCCAGTGTCAATGCACCGTTCAATATCGCTCGGCCTCCACTACGGCCTCCACCACGACCTCCACCACGGTCTCCACCACGACCTCCACCACGGTCTCCACCACGGTTCCGACGTGCCACGTCTGTCCAGCGCAGACGTAAACCCTCGCATCGCGCCGTCGCTCAAATTCAGTTTGACCCAAGTCCACAACCGTTTACAGACGAGGAAGAAAAAAATCATGCGTACTCATGGATTACACGTGTAAAGTAGTAACTCGGCGGGAGACGTCTTGACGGGTAGCACACTCTTTATTTTCACCAACTTGTAGTTACACGGATGACTAACACCCACTTCGTTGCACGGGTGACTAACACCCACTTAGCTACTCGGGTGACTCACACCCACTTCGTTGCACGGGTGACTAACACCCACTTAGCTACTCGGGTGACTCACACCCACTCAGCTACACGGGTGACTATCACCCACTTCGTCGCACGGGTGACTGACACCCACTTAGTTACTCGGGTGACTCACACCCACTCAGCTACACGGGTGACTAACACCCACTTCGTTGCACGGGTGACTGACACCCACTTAGCTACTCGGGTGACTCACACCCACTCAGCTACACGGGTGACTAATACCCACTCAGCTACACGGGTGACAAACACCCACTCAGCTATACTGACACGGGCTCTTGCGCCCCGTAGCCTTCCGGGACACACCCAGCCGGGGGTGCCCGTCTCGGCTCTGGGTACCACCGTCCCGACCCACACGGGCGTCGGACTACGGGTCCCCCAGTCTCGGCTCCGAGCCACACAGGGCCCCGGTCCTCACAAGGACGGCGGGACTAGGGGTCTCGGGCCACTACCTCCTCCACCCCGTCTTCGGTCTTCAACTGGTTAACACTGACCACGAGTGCTCTCGCGCGTCTCCCTTTATACCCCTCCTGCGGACGTCGCTGAGAGCACCCACTTATCTGACCAATCACTGCGCACTCGCTACGATCCTCTTTTCCCAGCTTGTGTGAGCGCGCCTTACCACCGGCGCGCGCGTCCATGCCACGCCCACATCGCGTGCCCAACCCCGCGCCCCGTGATCCATCACTGTCGGCGCACGTCAATACCACCACTACACACGTAACGCTTTCTAATAATGTGATTTTGTGACTTTACCGAAAGAACCAAAGAGTAATGTGTGTACGTGTTTACTTGTGTGTGTACGTGTGTGTAGGTGTGTGTGTACGTGTGTGTCGTAGTCATCTCGGTCAGTCGACCCGTGGCACCTGGGTCTGCCCCTTGACCTCCTGCCAGCGGGCGTTCGACACTTCACGTGGCCTCAAGGTGCACTTGGCCTGGCACAAGCGTCGTGGTGACGTCACCGCCACTTAGTGGCGAATGGCGGTTGTTGTTTTTGTACGTGTGTGTAGGTGTGTGTGTAGATGTGTGTGTAGGTGTGTGTGTAGGTGTGTGTGTACGTGTGTGTAGGTGTGTGTAGATGTGTGTGTAGGTGTGTGTGTAGGTGTGTGTGTACGTGTGTGTAGGTGTGTGTAGATGTGTGTGTAGGTGTGTGTGTAGGTGTGTGTGTACGTGCGTGTAGGTGTGTGTGTAGGTGTGTGTGTACGTGCGTGTAGGTGTGTGTGTACGTGCGTGTAGGTGTGTGTGTAGGTGTGTGAGTAGGTGTGTGTGTACGTGTGTGTAGGTGTGTGTGTACGTGTGTGTAGGTGTGTGTGTAGGTGTGTGTGTACGTGCGTGTAGGTGTGTGTAGCGGTTAGGGAGCTGCGCTACGAACCTGGCGACCCGGGTTCGATTCCCGCTCACGGTCAACACCAGTGACGATTATCTGAACCGGTCCTGGGTCTCCCCTAGGTCGACTCAGCTTCAAATGAGTACCTGGTGCGATGTGTAAACATCACCACTAGGGAGACAAAGGCGGCCGGGCGTGGTGTTGGCCACCCACCCCCTCGTGTGCCATGCCGGCCTTTATAGGTGCTCACTAACAGAAATTGCCCCTACAGTCTGTTAAGGCTACACGGGGGATCTTTGTCTTTGTGTGTGTCTAGGTGTTTACGTGTGTGTAGCTGTGTGTGTGTGCGTGTTCTTACAAATGCATAATTAGCGACAGGGGTAGAAATGGGGCGGATCGAGCCGGAACGCACCACGTGTTGGTTGGTGGTGGTGGCAGCAAGTTGGCACAGTCGTGGGTGCAGCTGGCGCATCTACCGTCATCTCAGTCAGCCAACCCATGGCACTTGCTGGGTCTGCCCCGAGGCATCCTGTCAGCGAGCCTTCTACACTTCACGTGGTCGCCTCAAAGTGCACCTGGCCTGGCACAGGCGCCTTGGTGACGTCGCCGTCACTTTGTGGCGAATGGCGGTTGTGTTGGTATTGGTGGGAGGGGACAGGTCCACAGCTCCTTTCACCCGAACCAAACTGCATTCCCTCCTCACCTCACACACCCAGCACTCCGTACGAGGGATTGTTCTAAAAGTGTGCGTGTTCTTAGGTGACATTATACCACCAGATGCAGTTTACTGTGATACCATGCACAACATCGGATGCAGTTGAATATCACGTTCAGGACAAAATGTCATTGAGTGACGGGGAAACGATCACATTTTCACCAAATATCTGACAAAAAGGACATTCCCCATCACACAAATCTGGCCCTCTAACTCTTAACACAAAACAATGTTAATTAATATAGTGTCTAGATGCGGCCACACCTCAATGCGCGTATAGACGCCGCGTGTTTATTTAATGGGGGGGAGGCAGGCAGTCAAGGGCAGAGGAAATTAAAGGGAATGTCTTGAGCTTGGCCTTGAACAATAACAAGGCGGAGACAACACGGGTGGCTACGGGAAGAGAGTTTCCAGAATGGACGCCATATCGTTTTCTGAAACGTAAGCCATGAACAGGGTCCACAAGAGGGCTTCTTTTATACCCGAGCGTGAGGTTGGTGAAGCGCAAGGATAATTGTGTGATGCCGCCGCCACGAAGCCGTTCGGCAGCCGCCCAATCCCCGACCTCGCCACCACCAAGCAACGGAGCCAACCCCGCGTCCCCCTCACCTCACCTCACATGAACACGCCCGCACGCATTTTCCCCCACCCATAGAGCTGGAAGGGGAGATCACCTGATCGGCCGGTTTTTATCCGAGAAACCCTTATCGGGATTAACTCTCACGGTTTCTGGCGATCAGGGAATTGGACGACCTTCCCCGTGCTACGTTGCGCCGCGGCGCTGCGACCAGCCTTAATATGGTATGGTCGCGGCGTGGGGCATTCGGCCACCGCGGTTGAGGCGCATTTCCCACACACACCCCCCCCCCACGCGTCGACGAGGCCAGCAGGGGAAGGACGGGAAGCATGAGTAGCAGGACCGCAGGGGCTCTTGCGCATAGTCACGGAAGGTTAGGATGGTTGCGCTTGAGTGCGCAGGCACAATTGTTGGGGTGGGTAAATGATTGAGCTGAAGGTATGAATAATCGGGAGGGCGGACGCACGCGGGGAGCCGTGCACAAATTCCCACGGCGCACCTTTGTAATGGACGCCGCCGCATAATCTGCAATAACAAAGGCATGCGTGAGAAAGGAATTAACTTGCGGAACGCCGATTAGCATATCGAAGGCGCACGGTACGTGGGAAGGGGGTAGGGGCCCGAGTCCGGGAATTAGGATAAAAAGGAGCGTAGCAAGGTAGGGGACTCGCTCTCATCACTTCTCTTCAAGAGGCACGCGTGCAAGTCGGCTCCCAGCTCTGCCCTCCGGACGTCCGCGTGACGTGTCCCGACGGCATAGAGGAAAAGCCACAGGACGCCGAATACTTTGACCCGTGAGTAGCAAGGTGACAGGGTATCGTAAGCCGATAAATAGGGAATAGGTCCAGGGGAAAGAGGATAGGCCAGCCTCGTCGACTCACTGATTCAACATTAATTACCAGGTAGCAGATAATAAATCATTAATAGCGAAGCGTGGCCTCGCGTGATCTTGTCGAGCAGTGTGAGCGTGTGGGTGCGCGTGTGTACACAGTGGTTCGCCACGTGAGTGAGCGCTGCGCGGAGCTGAGCGCGTGGGTGAGCGTGTGTACACAGTGGTTCGCCACGTGAGTGAGCGCTGCGCGGAGCTGAGCGCGTGGGTGAGCGCGTGTACACAGTGATTCTGTAGTGCTGCGGCTCGCCTCGGGGGAGCGCTGCGCAGAGCGGTGCGAGAGTGGGTGTCGCGTGTGTTCACTCCGTGTGTGATACAGGTGCGCGATCATAACGCGAGTATTCAGTGGTGAGTGAGTGCCGCGGAGAGCTGTGTGCGTGAGTGCGCATACGTTCGTTACGTGTCGGATACGGATGCGCATTGGTAACGTGGTTATTCGACGTGGAGGAGTGCCGCACAGGGCTATAGACGGGCACACGCTCGCAGTGTGCGAGAGCTGTACGTAGCGGTGTAAAGAGGGGGAGTGTGGCGTTTGATTGATGATGCTGTGCGCACGTATGCTCGCAGCGTGAGAGCGCGGCGCGAGGCTGTAACAGTAGGGGCGTCGCGTTCGAATGCCGGCGAAACCGTAGCGGGTAATAGGGAGGTGGGGTAACGTAAACAGAATAGGGGATGCAGGCGGGAGGGACCCCGGGGGCCAACGGCCCCCACAATTGTGTCTTGTGTTTGATTCGTTGTTCTTACCCCGCAGTACCTCCGATTAGCGCGGTTGGCTATGTACGTTCAACATACATACATAATCCAACAGAATTCACAGCGATAGAAGTTGTGTGCGCGGTACCAGGCAGAGTTAATGTCAATGGAACCCACTGCTGCAGAGAGCTATTGAGCAGAGGCGCTGAGCAGCAGCACTGCAGCCAGGGGTAGGGTGTGCCCCGATGCTGGCACTCTGCCCCAGATGCGCCACCGAGAGACGACACTCAAACTGTCGGCTCGACTCATCTGACGCGAGGACCCATTCCCCAAACACGTGAATTCGACCCTCTCGCTTCCACATTGGGAACTCTGCCTGGTACCGCGTTGGTGTACGGTGCTTTTTCTGCAATATTTTGCTGTCTTTTCTTGGATTTTCTGTTTGCACATAGTCACATAATCACTTTAAGATGTTTTCTTGTTCATGTTTTTGTTTCTTGTTGCGGTTGCACCCGATTCAAGAGCCGAATGGCTCACAGGGCTATACCTAATAAATGAACTTGAACTTGAACTCGACCAAGGTTTATTTTGTTTTGCGAAAGCCAGGGCGGCGTAGCTCTGGAGCATGCGGGCGGTGCAACTGCGCTGAGGTTCACCGGTCGGGCAGGCCCACGTGCTGCGGCGGTCGGGCAGGCCCTCGAGCTGCGGCAGGGCGAGGGCGGCCGCAACGTTATTGCTTCAGGGGCGCCACGGCGGCGAGATGTTAACTACCTCGCCAGGTATACAGGAATTCGCGGGTTCGATCCCGACCCTGACGCCTGCGGTATATTTGGAGTTTGCGTGTCTCTCTCTCTTACCCAGTGGTCGCTTGGATTTTTCTCTGGGTCCTCCGGTTTTTCCCAGCACATTTCGAAGCAACGCCACGCGTTTAGAGTATTTCCCTGTTATACATTTCCACGTGATGACACACGATAAGCCACTTCGTTGAGCTATCATTTGTGCTAGCCAGGTCGCTTCTGAAAAAGAGCTACATAGCTCAGTGGTGCCTTACCTGGTAACATAAAATAAAGTTAATAGTTTATTCCATTTTTCGGTGGCCACCACGTGCCCAAGGCCCCCCTCTCCCCCCCCCCTCCCCTGCTGGCACTGCCATCAGCAGCTGCAGCCGAGTCCCGCCTTGCGGGACGAACGCCCGGAGGTTGACCAGGCGCAATCGGGCCGCTCGGTGATCCTGACGCCGGGCGGCAGCTTGGCCGGGAGGGACGACGGAGAGGAGGAGGCCTCGAGGGCGACGGTGCGGGCGTGAATCGCCGTCACGAGCTCCACGAAGGCCTCCTCCACGCCCACACCCCGCCGGGCCGTCGCCTCCACGTAGGCCATGCCGTGGGCGCTCGCAAAGCGCTCGCCCTCCTCGCGGGTCACGGCGCGCTGGCGGGCGAGACACGCGAAAACAGAAATAACATCATTCGTTCGTTCGTTTCTCATTCCGCTTGTCCTGGCGAGGGTCACGGCGGCAGCAGCGTGTTGAGTAGTGGCGGTCCACACCTCCCTTTCCCATTTCCTGGCAACGGACTTGAGCACTACTACACTATACACTACTACATGATACACTACACGATACACTACTACACTATACACTGCACTGTGCACGACTATACACTACACTATTTTATACTACACTACGATACACTACACACTACTATACACAGACTCTAGCTCTTCCTGGGTAATTCCCACGCGTTCCCAGGCCAGCCGAGCGACGTCGTCCCGCCAGCAGCAGCGTGGTCCTGGGTCGGCCCCGGGGCCTTCACCAAGTGGGACGTTGCTGCTGCTGCTGCCCGGTAGAGTTCCAGGGGGAGTCTACCGGGGGGGCATCCTTACCGGGTGTGCAAACCACCTCAACTGGCTCCTCTCGATCTGGAGGAGCAGCAGCGGCTCGACTCTGAGGCTCTCCCGGGTTACCGAGCTCCTCACCCGGTCACGGAGAGTGGTGAGCCCGGCAACCCTGCGGAGACACCTCACATAATGATAATAAATACATAACTTTGTTTGCGTCGCATCTCTCGACTCCTGATTATAATCCGGTTGTCAAAATAATTCAAAACGATTTTCAGTACGAATCAGCGCCCGCGCGCTCGTGCGAGTGTGTGCACCAGCGTGGCTGGTACCCACACGTCTATGGTCAGTATTACTCTACGGGCCCTCCGAGTTGTTTAGGGGTCATCATTGACCCCGTGCCCTTCTAAAAGCAAATATCGGTGATTTCCTGCTCAAATGAGCGCTGAGGTGGTCCTCATCTCCCGTTTACAGGCTTCAGCCAGTGGTGGAAATTGGACGTTCCTGTGGCAGCGGTCAGCTGTCTGATCCGCCCCGACTCGACATCTGTGAAAAAGATCTTCATAGCTCATCGGATTTCTCCAGGATAAATTAATGTTCTGATTCTGAGCTTATCCATAGGACAACGACTGTTGACTTCTCCACAAGCTGGTTCTTATTGTATCGGCCCCGAAGGGATGCTGGGCTGAGTTGACCCCCAACGAGGATTTGAACTCGCGACCATCCGATTGATTGTGGGTCGCTCGCCCTGGCGCTTAGTCTCCGGGCCGGTTTTGTTACAGAGAGCGTGGAGAGGGAGAACATCGATGTGGGTTTCTTCCCTTACAGAGAGGAGGAGGAGGAGAGTCTCATGATGAACATGGAAGCGGCATGGCGGCGAGAGGGCGAGGCAGGCCCTGAGGGAGGAGGTTGAGAGCGGTGCACCAGGAAGTTCAGGACTGTGGAGTCAATGCGGCGGTGTTGGCTCCGCGAGAGGAACGGGTGCGGAAAATGCCAGGAAGAGGAAAAAGATCAGAATCAACCAGAATCAGAATATTTATTCATACTGGAGGAGTCCGATGAGCTATAAAGCTCTGTTTCGCAGATGTCAAGTCAAAGATATTCCAGTTATCAAAATAATTTTTGTTAATCCAAAAAGTTTCATAATTCCAGTATTTATAGGGCTAATGAAAAGCAGCATACCGACTACCGGTGTGCCTACAGAGGACAGTGTCCCGTCAGTGTGGGTTACTCCCTTTGGCACATCGAGCTCAAATATGCGCACTGACAAGGGACATTGAACAAAATGCGAAAAGTGTGCAAAGAAGCGTGGAGAAGAGCATGCTGGGAGGTACACTGAAGGAGACAGCTGGAAGTTGACGCCAACTGTCCGACGGAAGGAAGCGATGGCGAGCTGTGGCAACGTCAGTGGCATGGAGCAGTGGTTCTCAACCGGGGGTACGCGGACCCCTGGGGGGTACCACGTGGCAATGCCCCAGGGAGGGGGGGGGGGGTACGTGAGGTATTTTATAAATGTGTGACATTATATCGTGAGAGTCATTGGTGAATCCTCACGTGTCAATCAGCCAATATAAAATAACTACGATAACATTTTAGTCGATATGGTAACCTAGACCGATATAATACGATCTTTATTAACTCGCTGATCGTAAACAATGCGGGTTTCCAAGAGGAACCAGCGAGTGCGAACTCATCACGTCACGCGCGCAGAGCGGCCGTGGATTTTTATTTTATTCGCTTGCAGTGACTCTTTAGTTAGGGATACCTCACAAAATGGAAAATTGGTCAAATATTGATGCTCATTATTCATAAATGTAGTTCTCAGAACCATGTTGGGTCAGGCAAGTGGATATTCGGTTGAAACTAAATTCAACAGCAGTCAATATCGGTTGAGAACCACTGGCATAGACGATGATGAACTCTTGACACTGATCTTGACTATTGTGGGGCGCGAGTGGTGGTGGTGCCGTGAGTGTGGTGTTGGTAGTGGTAGGGTGAGAGTGGGAGTAGCGGGGTGAGCGTGGTGTAGGTGAGGGTGGTGGTAGTGGTGGGGCGAGTGTGGTGGTGGTTGGATGAGATTGGAGCAAGTGGGGTGAGGGTGGTGATAGTAAGGGTGGCAGTGAAGTGAGGATACTGGTTGTGGGATGAAGGTGGTGGTGACGTTAGCGTGCTGCTGTGGTAAGCAGGGTTGCGGTGGCGCGCCCGCCCCATGCCCCCCCCCCCTCACCTGGCCCTGCAGGTCACACTTGTGGGCCACCAGCACGAAGGCCATGCCGCTCGGGGGCCCGTGGATGCGAGCCTCGGCCAGCCAGTCGGCGATGTGCAAGTAGGACGGGCGCCGGCTGACGTCGTAGACGAGGAGGGCGCCGGCCGCTCCCTGGTAGTAGGAGCGGGTGATCGACCTGCGCGGCCACAACGGGATCCATCATCGCCACGGAAGCGACGGCGGTGACGGTCGTGGTCGTGGTGGGGAGCGGTGGGGCGGTTAGCGCCACGCTGCACCACGAACCCGGCGTCCCGAGTTCGATTCCCGCTCACGGTCACCAACACCGCTGACGATTATCTCAACCGGTCACGAGCCTCGTCTAGGTCGACTCAGCCTCAAACGAGTACCTGGTGCAGTGTGTGTAAACATTGCCACTAGGGAGGCGTGGTGCTGACCATCCACCACTTTGTGTGCCCTTCCAGCCTCTATAGGTGCTCGCTGACAGCACTTGCCCCAACAGTCTGTTAAGGCTATACGGGGATCTTTGTCTTTGGTGACACCCCTGGCCATAGATGTGCGTGTACATTTGTAGGGGTGTTAAAGAGAGGGCCCGTTATGCATGGCAGCCTATGGAAAACAAACACAGTGGGCGGGGCTACGTAAGTGCACGAGGAGGTGCCCTCTACGACGTCCGAGCCAGACACCCTGGGGGGGGGCTGGTTCGAACGTTATGATCCCCCGGGGCCCCACCCCTCAGGGAGGGGTTGGGTATAAAAGGGGATGTTCAAAGGGCTCGAGTCAGTTATGTTTAAGCTAAGGGAAGAAGACTGAAGACGTCTTAGATAGAGCCCTGGACTCCCCTAGTTCGATGTCCTTTTCAGGGCCGGACAGGACTGAGCCAGCGGCGTGGTCCCGAAAGCCAGAGCCGGTGCTCTTGTAAGAGCTGGTCTGGAACTCCGGGTACCGGGCCCGACTTACCAGTGTCGGGCCAGTTAGCCTCCCCTAGCCCATTAGTGGAGGATTTGGGGCTAGGACAGAGTTAGCTAGGGGTGTATCCCGAGTTATACGGGTGAGGGGGCCGATACCCCCTCGAGTGTGTATATGCCCACTGTCGTATTGTGAAATAAATATACGTGTGCCTCAACCTCGGCGTCAAGCGTCTTCACCGGTACTTCAACTGGTGTCAGAAGTAATTCGAACATGGACACGCGGAAAACAGCGCGGGCCAAAGTACCGCAGGAGGAAGACACTGCCGAGATCGTCGAGCCCGAGACGGCTCCACAAGACAAGGTGCAGCCGGGGCCTGACGCCTCCTTACCGGGGCATCGAAATGAAGAGGGGCCGCAGCCAGACGCGTTACGGCTGGCTCACGGGAGGCTGGCGGAGCTGCTGTATGCCGCTGCCGCCACGCTGGAGACCATCACGCGACTAGGGGCCGGTGATCCAACACGGGGCGAGGCGAGCCAACGACCAGGGCGCCTTCCCGCCATTTCGGAGCAGTCCGAATTTGAAATTCCCGCCATCGACGCTACAGCTGTTCGGGGCGTGGCCAGCCTAGACATCCGCTCAGACATCGCCGTCGCTGAAGCTGCAACGTCATCACAAGCGCGACAGGCGATCCCATCGGCCGTTCGCACCGACGCACAGCCGAGTGGTGGTGACATCAGCCTGCGGGAGTCCACAACGACCGCTGCGCTTCATCAGAGACTGCCCCCGCTGAAGGAGTTCATCGGCGCGGAGGGGGACTGGGCCGGTTTTCGCCGACGTTTCCTCGCCCATCAGGAGATGGCGAAATGGTCCGATGAGGAGGCTCTCTGCGCGCTGCCGGCGCTCCTCGACTGGCGACGCGCTCGCCGCCCTCACATCGGCGCCGAGAGAGAAGCGGTCTACGTTACCGATGGCACTACAGCTGCTGGGCGGGGTCTATGGACCATCGGCTGAATGCCGACAGCAATTTTACGACCGCAAGCGGGGTGAGAAGGAGTCGCCCCTAGCATATCGGACGAGCCTCCTGGCGATGGCTAAGTCGGCCTTCCCTCGTATGGACGACGACGGCGTGGACGCGATGGTCACGGAGAAGATCCTCCTCCTGGCAGACGACCTTGACATCGCGGTCGTCGCCCGGGAGGACGAGGAGATGACATCGCTCCAGGCGGCGCGGCTCCTCCACGCCAACCTCCTGTCACTGCGGCGGAAAGCCAGCAGGGCATCGGCGGGGCGTGCGGTGGCTGCAGCCACCATTCCGACGGAGGAGCTCTACGCCGTCGACCACCGACCGCAACAGGCGACAGGAGCACGGTCGGGCCGGGACGGGCCGGGCCGTTTCAACCATCCGTCTCCTCCAACGGCGCTCCCGCGGTGTTTCAACTGCGGCGTCCGGGGCCACGTCGCCTCGGGGTGCCGCGCTCCTCGACAGCGCGGGACGACACCTCAACGGGACGACGGGCCTCATCACAAGCTCCACCATCATAACCCGGCGAGTCGCGGCACCCCACATGTTTGGCCCACGCACACACCCGTCACGCACTCAAACACCGCAACGAGAGGGGGGCCGATATCGCGCACCATCGCACCATCACGCACCACCCCGGGTACTCATATCGAACCCGGCCAGTGGTCCGTGCTGGCCGATCGTGTGGTAGCCGCATCGTCGGGGTCGTCGGCCGTTGTGGGGCACATCGACGGGGTTGAAGTGCGCATCCTGGTCGATACGGGAGCATCGGCGACCATTATTTCGGAGTTGATTTACAATATTCTCCCTGTCCGGAGTCGTCCTTTGATGCCTGTTAACGTACCATTCTATGCGGCTAACGGGGGCTCACTTGGCATCATCAGACAAATTTGTGCCCAAATTTGTATTGGGGATATTAAATTGTCTGGGCCGATTTTTGTTTCCTCCTCGCTGGCGGTTCCGTGCCTGCTGGGGACGGACTTCCTGGCCAAAATGCCGATTAGGATATTGATCGACCAGGGATGTATTGAGCTCCCGTCGGGCAGACGCATGGCGTTTCTGCCATCGCCTGTTACGACTCGGACGGCGTTCGCGATGGTGCCGGCATTCCTAGAGAGAACGGGGCGCGTACCTCCGGGGGCGCAAATGTTGATTCCCTTGAAACTTCGGCGGCCCTTCGCTAAGGGTGTTGGGGCCCAAGGGGTTCTGCTGGGGCCGTCTAGGGCCGGGGTTAGTGGACCTCATTTACTTCCGGCCCAGACCATAGTAAGAGGGGACGGTGAACCCTTCATCGCGGTCCTCAATGTGGGCTCGCAGACGGTGGTGGTCCCACAGGGGACCGTGCTTGCTCACGCAACGCCGGTGCCATGTGAGGAACCCGTCGCAAATCACGTCAGCGTTGTCCCTGCGCCGCGACCGCATTCGGACAGCGATGAAGGGTGGCTCGAGGCGCTTTGTGCGGGATCGACGGACCTGTCAGATTCAGAGCGTCAACAACTTTAAACACTACTGCGGGAATTTTCCGACGTTTTTAGTCGGAATAAATACGATTTGGGTTGTACTCACCTGCTGCGTCACCATATTGACACGGGTGACAGCGCGCCAATTCGCCAAAATCCGTTTCGGTTGAGTCCCGCCGAAAAGGACCATGTCAAATCGGCTGTTGATGACATGTTGGCCGCCGACATCATTTCTCCTTCCACCAGCCCTTGGGGAGCGCCGATCGTCCTGGTTAAAAAGCAGGACGGTTCGTTGCGGTTTTGCGTTGATTTCCAGCGTCTTAACAAAATTTCGGTTGCCGACGCATACCCGCTCCCTCGGATGGATGAATCGCTGGACGCCTTGGCGGGAGCGCGATTCTTTTCCACACTGGATTTACTTTCGGGATTCTGGCAGCTTCCTCTGGACGATGATTCAAAGCCTAAAACTGCTTTCCGTACACCGCATGGCCTGTTCCAATTCAACCGGTTGCCGATGGGCTTACACTCAGCGCCGGCAACTTTCCAGCGTTTGATGGAATTGGTTTTGGCTGGATTGCAATGGGAGTCGTGCCTCATTTATTTGGATGACGTTATCGTCTTTAGTAAAACTTTTGACGAACATCTCCAGAGGTTGCGGGCGGTTTTCCTAAAGATGCGGGCTGCTAATTTGAAATTCAAGCCCCAAAAATGCCATTTGTTGCGCGATTCGGTGCGTTATTTGGGGCACATCGTGGGACGCTCAGGTATTGCTACCGATCCCGCCAAAACGCAGTGTGTCAGCTCCTGGCCGACTCCCACCTCGGTGGGAGAGGTCAGGAGTTTCATTGGGTTCGCGTCGTATTACCGACGGTTCGTCGCTGATTTTGCGACAATTGCAAAACCCCTGCACGCTTTAACATCTAAAGGGGTTCGGTTCCACTGGGGCCAAGAGGAGGAGGCTGCTTTCTGCTCCCTTCGGGACGCCCTGGTAAAAGCCCCTCCCTTGATTTACCCAGATTTTTCTAAGCCCTTTTTGCTCGACACCGATGCGAGCAACACGGGTATTGGGGGTGTGCTTTCCCAGGTGGTTGATGGCGTGGAACGGGTGGTCGCGTACGGTAGTCGGGTGTTGTCTCCTGCGGAGCAAAGATATTGTGTCACCCGTAGGGAACTGTTGGCAATTGTCTATTTCATCCAACAGTATCGCCCATATCTGTACGGTCGGCATTTCACCGTCCGCACAGATCATGCGGCACTACAGTATGCCCTGCGAGTTCAACAACCATCGGGACAGTTGTCTCGATGGTTGGAGGTTCTCCAGGACTTTGATTTTGAAACCACCTACCGTAAGGGCGTTCGCCATACGAATGCGGACGCTCTGTCGCGCATGCCAACCACCTCCGAATGTGCATGCCTCCTGGGGTCGGGACGTTGCAGGCCTTCAGGGGACGCATCGGTTCCGATCTTGGCAGCCACCGACGACGACGAACCATTGGTTACTAATTCGATCGAACAACAGGGAAGAGATTCCCTGTTGGGGTTGCCCGTCACTGAATGGGGGCGCCTCCAAATGGAAGATACCTCCCTCCTCGGGTGGCGTCGTCGCGTCGGGGGTGCTGGGCGTGTGAAGGGTGATTCGGATGCATGGGAAATGGTGCAAGGTCTGCTGATGCATTGGGACGGCAAATCCCAGCGACATCGGCTGGTGGTCCCTTCTGGGTTGCGAGGCAAGGTGGTGTGGGCCGCGCATGAGCGCCTATTACACCTGGGGACCCAAAAGACTCT